TTTTCAATTGATTTTTCTAATTTATTAGGTGCAATCTGTTGAAATAAAGTCAGATTGACTGGATTCGTCTTTAAGTTCTGTCATGGGACTAGGTTCACATTGATCTTTCAATAACATCTTTAAATGTTGCTGGTTGACCTCACAATTAATATGTATAAAATAAACATGATTAGACCCGAAGACTATCTCCGTTAAACTAAAGATTTAGTTGGTTTATTAAAATCTGTGATGTTTGATTACAGAGCCAGCCTTGGTGGCTTATAGTGTTATGCAAGAGCAAGGAATCATTGCTGTGTTTTTACAAACTTATTCTCTTCAGGATTAAACAATAAACTTTATGTAAAGTGAATAGTAATATATTTCTATAAGAATGTTAAGACAATGATGTCTGGTACACCACATGGTACTATCTCTCTCTTTATATCTAATACCAAGTCTAGCAACCTAAACTTGATAGTATATATTGGAAGAACAGATTGCATATTAGTTGAGAATGATTTATATTAAACTTAACTGATATATAAACAGTGGTATCTTCTCTTATGACTCATATTTTAAAGATAACTCTTCTGCAAATTAATCTTCAATCATCTTTGGGGAGCTGCAGTGAATTAGAAGGTCCAGGATTCATTAATTTTTCAACCTGGTTTCTTAAGCATGTACACAAATTGCTATTTCCATTTAGAATTCTGAAGTACATATAGCAAAGAACATTATATTTGTTATCATGTAATCAAGAAATTAAAGACTTGCAGCATAGCCTCAGTGTTACAGAAACCAGTTATAAAGGGAAGAGAACTTAATGTAACTCATTCACATACCAGAAACAATATAGTTGTGAATTTTATACCTGAGCCACTTTAAGTACAGTATAAAATTTGAAATGGCTAACAGGAGTGAGATATTTCAGACTTTATTTATGATATCTATTCTATAAAATATAAACAGAAATTAAGTGATTTCTTGACTAACACAAAAGATAAATTTTCAAATTTTTGTATGCAAAACTGATGAACTTTATAAGTTTCAGAGCTTCAAGTTTCCATTAGATTGAAATGTAAGCATAAAGTTTTCATGAATAAATTACCACAAATGACCATTAGATGTAGGATTTTTCGATTTTTAAAAATGTTATTCATAAATAAAATTGCACCAGATAAACTGATGAAGCAAATATTTTCACATTTAAATCACTTTAATGATATATCACTTTCACCATATATCAATTGAATGTATATATAGATTTAATATTCGGTATGAAGTTATGCAAGTTTTATGGTGATTCACTTACACTGAATTTATTGAGCCCATGAAATTTAATTTTATGTAATATTTTTTTATTTAGTAGATTTCATGTGATTGATCAATGCGTTTAAACCATTCTATTGTTTTGTCCTTTTTATTCAGATAATAGGTTTAGTGTGTCAGTAAGTACTAAAGATGTAATAAATATATGATAAATTGTCATTAGGTTATTAACGGCATCATTAATCTCTATCTTCTAATGTGTTTTACTATCTCATTTATTCTCTACTTTATCCACTAAGACATTCTGTATTGATCATATTAATACAGTATCTAAATTAGATATCTTATGATTTATCTTCCCTTTAAACCAGAGAATTTCTGAAAACAATCAGTTACCCATCTTATCTTAGGTTCAGAATAAGAAATAATGTGATAAACTCATTTCCCAGTATTATCTATTAAATTCTGAAACATGTACTCTACTGACACACAGAGAAGATGAGAAATATGACTTGACCTGTAGAAGTATTTATAAACTTCTTCACTCTTAATACTTTATAGAACTGCAGTAAATTGATTAATGTATTGAGCAGTACTCAATGTGAAAAATAAAATAAATACATTGAACTGTCTAGATTGGGTGACTTTTTGTAGGCCCCATTGTCCACACATTCTTATGGAACATATAACAAGATATTGTTTTTTACCATAACAAGATAACCTTAAAGGTATTCAAAGTAGGTTTTAAATTTTAGTATGAGTTCTTTGTTTCCAGTAATTCCAGAAAAACTTGATCAGATTATGATACCATGTTCAAGTTAAATGATGGTTGAGTGAAGTTCTGGAATTGTAAAAGAATAAGTAAGGTGCAAATAGAAAAAGTGGGTTTCTCTGAAGCACTTACAGGCTAAGAAAACCTCTGTTAAATCCCTCATGTAGATATTATATTGAAAAATTAATTATAGAACCTTTAGTAGGTAATGATAGCTCCTGATAGTTTCATCATAAAAATTACTTGTGGGATTTTGAGATGTTCTCAAATTACACTGTGTTACATTGATTAACAGATTTTATAGGAAAATTAATTTCTTAAAGTGGCACTTGTACAGTGTCTGGTTCATGTAAGAGAATAGAAAGATTTTAGAAGGAAGGAAAGACTAATTTAGAGAGTGATACTAGTATTTATAGAAGATTTAGAGTAAGATTTAATTGATCTTTGTTGTATTAGATTGCTAAGAAGAAGTCAGTAACAATTATTGTAAGGCCTACCTTGAGATTAACTATGTGGTTGTTTGTCTTCTAGCAGGAAGTGATCTATCCAATAATCCCTTCATTATTAGAAATGCCAGTCTAGAAGCTGATAGTTTTATCATGACACTGTGTGACATTATTAGTTAAAAATGTTAGTGCATCATGTTTACATTGTGGTTTATTAAATAATAAATAGTGCATGAATTCATATGTATTTTTGGTGATTTGAAATAAAAATTAATTGTGACGTTTGTGGAAATTTGTAAGATGACTGGCTGTATGGATTGAAGGCTTATAGCTTTAGTTGTTAGATAATATAATTATCTTGTTTACAAGATAGCAATACGATTAAAGGAAGAAAAATTGTCAAGAAGATGTTGTATAAATTAGATAATGTAACTATTAAATGGTATGTTTATAGCTTGTGTAAATCAAGTATAAGATTAGATATCACAACCACACTGTACTTTAATAAAGTTTTTTGTTTCTTAAGGATTTTTTGTAAACTCTTAACAATTTCGAATTAAACAATTGTTATCAATGATTTAACTTAAATTCGAAAGAACCTTATCTCAAAGATTTAAATTATTAAAAGTGTTATTAGTTTTATATGGAAGCATTAAATCAATACATTTTAGAATATTTTTGATATACAAGCAGTAGGTTGATTATTGTTATCGTATGCAAATGAATTTTAAGCATGGTTTCAATTACATTATGCTTTTTTACATACAATACATTAAGCTGTCAAAATATTTTTTCATGGTATAACCTGAGAAGAGAAGCTTGGTTGAACACTATAAATCATTCACAGTCTTATATATTCTATTTTAGGCTTCATTGGCTTTGTAAAGACACTCTTCCTGGTCTCTTGATACAACATTCATAAATTATAAATAATATGGTAAAAAAGATATATTTTCAGGTGTAATAAAGTATTATACAATGACTATACAATATACAACATATAAAGTTTTAGTTCATAAGACCTTAGTTTACTTTAAAAGGAGACTTCCTAATTTAACAAGCAATAGATGTGATTAGTTTTACTTTCTCTGACTGCTGACAATTGCTTTTTTCACTGTTGATTTCTCAATATCTCCAATTTTTGATACATAGCTTAAAATGCTTTTGACCCTTTAAACCACAAAATTGAATAATATTACAAGCATTAGATCTGACTAGACAACTTACTGGAAGAAATAAACTGTGATGGAAGGTGCTGGTGAAAAAATTGTGAATACCAATTTGTCAAAAACAACAGATTTGAATAAAAATTGATAAATGAAACATTTTCTGTTGTTGAGAATTCCTGAAAGTAAAAATTCACATATCTTGTTCTGGATTTATCGTTGACATAATTTAAATTTATATCATAATTAAGATAGATACCATAATTAACATAGATACGTATATATGACTGACTGACTGACGTATATTATAATAATCTAAGTCAATGAATTTATTATTTCCTGCTAAGATAAGATTATAGTAAATATAGAGTTTCATGTAGTGTTTACCCTTATCTTCAAGATTTCATGTCTACCAAGTTGCAAATTCATGACATATAATATTTATATACGTTGGATCTAATAATTAGTGGTTGATTAAAATAAAGAATTTTCAGGTTAGATACAAGTTTATTACAATAGTAAATTTTTGCAAGATTTGAACATTTTAAGTAATCATTTCCAATGTCATCATACACTTGTTGCCTGAATACTTTGATCTATCAAATTGTGTCATATCCTATTCACATTCTTTTCAAAATTGCAGTTAGTTGTAGTTTCAGAATTCAAATGACTATTTTCATAAATTTATTCAGAGTTTCATATACAACGATACGGCAAAAGTTCACCTCCTAGTTGCTTCCTTTCTAGTAGTTTGCTATAGATATAAACACGCTTACTCATGCTTTAAAAAAATAAATGTGAAAAGGTGAACTTTTGATCGTTTCACTGGTAACACTTTGGTCTAAAGGTTTTATTGATCTATATTTATAAGAGATTTATTTAAAAATTCATAAAATAGAGGCTGATTTACCCCCAAATAACCTCTCAAGATGAACTCCAGTCATTTTGTACAACTGCCAATTATTAGAGATTAAAATGATAATTATATAAGATGTTTTATGCTGATAGCATGACTATATTAGATTATAAGACTTAAATTAAAGATTATATTATGTTGATTATATAGACCACACCAATAACATGTGGTTGATATTTAAAACTATCGGACTGTTAAAACTCTTTGATTCACTTAATATCAATTATTAGTTATAATGGTTTTTAACACCTTATTTTTATTATTTCAGCTTCAGATGGAATGTGATTAGTAATGGACAGATAACTCACTTATTATGAAGGAAGTAACAAAATTTGGTGCCAAAATTATGAACTTTGAAATACTTTCCTGATTTGCTGTTTAATTGTGGACATCAACTTAGATGTACTATGATGGAGATATATAATACAACAATGAATAACAATAATTCCAGTATGGAACATGTGTTTAGAGATACGGACAAACCACAGGAATCAGATGTACGAATTGCCAGAATATTATTGTTAATGCCCAGATTAGTGTTTTTAATTCTGGTGTTTGTTGTTGGCTCTGTAGGAAATGTGATTGTACTGTATGTTTATCATTTTAAATGGCGGAATTCTACCTTTACTTTATTTGTAAAAGTGCTAGCATTATTAGATCTGTTAAATTGTTTTACCAGTACACCTGCTGCTATTATTTTAGTTCTTGGACAAGATCATGTTTATGTAGATACTCTGTGTGCAATTACTCCTTTTCTGTCTCTGTATACATCTATCGTTTCCGGTATATTATTTGTTATCATAGCAGTACAGAGATATTTGGGTATATGTAAACCATTGAAAGTTTCATTTGAATTACCATTGGCTAAAAAACTGTGTCTATTTGCGATATCTCTGGGAGTGTTACCCAGTATGTTACGATTATTTTTGGACAGTGGATTAACGTACCATGTGTCATTTAACGATATAAAATTTAATATAACTATGTGTGTTGTAACAGAAGAATCACGTTTAGTACCGATATATAAAGTTTATATGGGAGTGTTAGCATTGTTGTTCTTTGCAATATTTGGAACTTTAATTCTGCTATATGTGTTAATGTGGAGGAAGATGTTTAGACATGCTGATCAAAGAACAGAATTATTCCAAAATCAACAGTCAGTGAGAAACATTAGACAGTGCAATGCCAACAAATACAACTCGTTTAAGATATTTTTTGCAGTAACTGTTGTATTCTTAGTGAGTTATTTACCACATTTAACCGTCTTAACAGTTCGCACTCTAGATCATGATTTAACAACTGTTAGAAGAGCGTTTTATGATCTGGCATATTATAGTCCGTTGTGGAACAATGCTGCAAATCCTTTAATATACAGTTTTTTCTCAGCTGAATTCCGATTTCAGTGTCGTGAATTATTCTGTTCAAAATGTTGCAGGAAAGAAAAGTGTTACAATGATACATTTAGAATGCAGTCTATGAATCAAGCCTCTCGTAGAACTCTTCACAGTATTGCTTAATTTAAACAGAATGAGAAGATAAATAGCAATCAAGTATGATTGTATTTTAATTAGTGCCAATTAACTATTAGGGAGTTTCAATTTAACATCATCTATGATAGTTAAAACTTTTCTGATGGACTTCCAATTTTTAACAGAAAACCGATAATCTGACAGACTTATATAATATTGATAGCGCGAAAGGGGCCGTTTTAGGTACATTAATAAAAAATGAAATGTCCATTGGAAACTTTTAATTGCCTTCCTATTGAATCGGTGATATTATCATTCAACATTTAGGTGTTTAAGTTGCAGTAAATATTTCTTGGGAATCTAAGAATTCAGTGCCACATGAATTAAATAAAAGTTGTATAAGGTGCTTAAAGCCAGCTCTTCCAGCTGAAGATATATAAAATAAAGCTAGGCATTAGCTGTAATTTCCTTAATGTGATACACCAAGCTATACATCAAATCTATATGTGTGTTTGAACACCTGATTTAAATAGTATTATTGTACCAAAGATAAGTGTGATTGTGATGAACTATATTATTTGTTATGATTATTATTACGTTTTATTTGAAATATCTGTTGTTATTTTGTTAAAAGATATTTATAAATCCCAATGGCCGATATTGATATATAATCATTATCAATAATATAACATAGCTTCATGAAGAAAGCAAACACATTTGTATGAAACAGATGCTGAGTGTGTCAAATATAAACCATTACTCTAGATATCTAGATGTACCTTGCTGAATTGTGCAATATATTATGCAATTTGTTGATTAAACATTAACTTGTAATCAGGTTTTTTGTTATGCTTTATAATTTTGCGCAAGAAAATTCTGAATTGGACATCAAATTCTGCAAATTTTACTGTTCAAAATTTTAATCCTGTCATTGTATTATGAGGATGATTAAGTCCATATTTTGTATAACTATATTATGAGTGGCAAATATTAACACCAGGGCACTTATCTCATCCCTACACAAACAGCTAACTTTATTCTGTGGAAGAAAATCCAAAATGATGCTTCAGCAGATGGCAATGCCAATTTTCCTATACTACCCGAAAAGTGGTGGACTGCTATGGTTTATGTTTCAACATGCTTCTCAAATTTGCCAAAATAATTTACATGCTTACTTTCAATGTGCTTTTGATTAGCTATTGATATGATATTATATGATTGGTAATGGTATAGAATCTGTTAATTATCTCTTTTGTATTAAACACCTACTCAAAGACTGTTGACGGAATAGAATCAGATGAATGTTCCCAACTACATTATATTTTTCAGTTCAAAATTGCCTTGAGCTAAATCTGGTATGTTCAATAATTGTTGGTATATTTGTTGAATTTTTGAAAAAATACTAGTACTACCACATGTCTTAAAGAAACTTAAAATCTGCAGATTGCAATTTTGATGACTATGAGCTGTATCTTATTCTAAATATTATATTCCACATGAATGGTTAAATATTTCTACAATGCAAATTTGTTTGTAAGCTCTAACAGATCTGGGAAAATTAAAATCTCCACTCTTTTTTGACAATAAAAATGGTATTACTTTTGGAAATCTGAATCTGAAGACAAGCCCATCATGCAAGGAAATTCAAACTTGGCACTGTTTTATTATGTTTCAGGAATATTGATATTTTCATTTCCTATCCTAACAATAATTTGTTTTATCAGCACACCTGGATTAGTTATTTGCCAATCCATGTCGAACCTTTTTATTGAAATAGTAACATGTTTTCAGCTGAATATAGTTCTAAAAATGTCTCAGTTTCTATTAAGAAATTAACAGATTGTAAAATGTTCCAAGTGTTGGTATTAGTGTAGGTGGATATCTAGAATATAACTTCTTAATAATGTTCAGTGATTAACAAAGTATCACCTCAGTATCAGATAGAAATAGTGAATGATGATAATTCATCAGACTATCCAATATTTACTGGCAATGAATGTGATAGAATGAGAGTTCAATTTTGATCATATCTTTGTTGCATTGGAATACCATTATTATCTGTGTTGTTATATTCAACTTAAAAACATCAGTAAAATCTCATGCTGTGTTCAACAGATTTCAACAAAACAACTGTAAATAACAACATGGAGACAACTGATTGATTCATTCAAGCCTATCAATAGGTGTCACTTTCACATGATATCTAACACCAATAATATTTTAGATTGATTAATTAATATTAGACTAGAGGGAATTAAAAACAATTAAAAATTCTAGAAGCTATTGTGTTGGATTGTTATGAACATGTCAATATATGTGATTTGATAGAAACAATGCCTAGATCTGTTGACAATCAAATTAAATTTATTCAAAACTGATTGAAGGAAAATTTATAATTGATTACTTGATTGGTTATCTGAATCTTAGAAATTGTTGATATAATATTATATATTGTGTTTAATAATTGTCTTTATTTAAAGTGACAATAGCTGTCAAAAAGCTTTTTGGTCCAGGATATTTCAATTTTCATGTTGATAGAGCGTGTGACAACTACCAGTCTTTATCTTTTTATGGAAACTTTTATCAGCAAAATAAATTAAAAGAAATACTTTTGATTTCTATCCTTAATATCATACAATTAAAAATCTATTTTGAAATTACAAAAGCAGAAATGAACCAATTGGGGGAAAGACAAAGAACACCCAAAAAAAAGGTAACATGTAAGGTTAAACATGACAATGTTTTTATATAGTTGTTTATAAAAAGGAAATACTGTATATTGATTAGCTGTATTAATATAAAGGAATATAATTAGTGAGTATTTAATTATATCTATATTAATTCAACAGTTAATGTGTATTATGTCTTATTGACATTACCATTATATTATTATATACTTTAATCTGATTTATTTTATTTCATTACTGACTCAACAAGTTACCCCATGTCAATTACTTTATTCAGAGAAGCTGACAGTGGAAAGAAGCTGGACAATCCAATGGGACAGACTGTTTTTTACTTTTGAAAAATCAATGAAGAATTTGCTCTTGTGTTTCCGCCAAATTTCCTTTATTGGGTTTTACTTGGCCTTGCCTTTTTTCATGAGGCAAATGATGTGCAGAACATGGAACATACAATTCTCTTCACTTTGTTAAATTCTATTTCAACTACAAAAATGCCATTCACAGCAATTTCTTTTTGAAGCCAAGCTCATAATTAGATAAAACTGTCTTATCAGGAGTATTCTCACATGATTTATCTTCTTGTATCTTTATACTGTAATGGAACTGTGTCATGTCCTAACTGCACTAGTGGTAAAAGATCAACTTAAAATAGCTGTAAAAAAACTGGTTGAACTTGGTTACAGCGCTTCAAACACAATAGCACTATCAAAATCTATGCAACAAACCATTATAGTTTAAAAGGGAAATATTGTCTAAATTTTGGCTTATCGAGCTTGTAGAGTGACAATCAACAGTAATTTTTGAAACTAAATTCCATAGTACCATATGTTCAGATAATAGTATGAAGTTGAGTCATTGATTATGTTATGTTATGTATAGTGTCTCATAAGCCGTTACCGGCTGGCATCTTAATAATTTTGTTTTTATGAATTAGTGCAATTTATTTTTGTAAAGATGGTGACACTGATTAAATAAGTTATTATTATTATTATTATTGATAATAAGATAAAAATTAATGTCACAGACCTTAACTGTCTGGCAAGGGCCTTTTTCAATCAGACATTTTAGACTGACAATTCCACCATGGATAATATCCATATGTAAATAAGACCTGCAAGTGAAAACTGTGTAAGTCCTATGTTGTTTAATTTAAGGGAAATGCACCTCATATTTTGATTCTGTAAAGAGATATAAAAAACTGAATTTGAACTCTATTATCTGGTAAATAAATATTAACTATGTCCCATTCATAGCCAATAATCTACAAAATATCATATCAATCATTTAGAAAAATTGATCAACTCTTTTTGCTATCCTAAAATTAGATATTTTGGAATGTTCAGTTTAGGTTATTTGTAATTAAAGAAGGTAATTGCTGAGTAATAGTTACACAGACCAGACTCAGTCTTTATTTATTGATAAAGGTGTCAATACAAATTACTTTAACTATTTATATTGGAAAACAGACATCAGACAAAATACCATCTTTAACTCTTATTTCATCAGAAAATACCTCTCATAGCTCTTAGCAATCAGTCAAACTCTCACATTCTTTATTTAGTGATAAACCTTCAATTTCACCTCCAGAACTGTTCACTGTTCAGTTTGTATTTATACACTCTTTATAGTTCGAGCAGCCTGCAAATATCCCTGAGATTTGAATATCATTTGACTTTTGTAAAAGGAATTCTATTGTTGACTTAAGCTTATTTTTTGCTGCAGACACATGTATTGGAGGTTCAATCCCGGCATAGGTCTAGATAATACCTTAGAATTTTTCAACCTGGTTTCCCCCTTTCAGTGATGCAAAATTTCCCTCATTGTACCCTGCATGGCGTTGCCCGTCTTCATTAGCCCACATGGTGCAGAAAAGTAGGATGTAAAACTCAATTCATTTCATTTCATCAGCATAGCTAGCTTTCCCTATACAGAACACAAAACAATGAGCAATTAAAATGCACACAGTGCACAGGAGTCAAAAGAAAGAATATTCTAGTCTAGTATCTAATTGACTAGAGCAATGAGAATTTATTAGTGATGGATCTTCTAGTATTACACCTCCATATGGTTTGTAGTGTAAGTTAACAACCTACTGTATCCATACCAAGATAACAAACTAATGAGTCAGATCATAGTTCATAATAATTCTCTAGAGTCTGTCAAAAACATGATCAGAATCACTGTGCAGAGAAAATAAAGATAAATTGTAAATGAAAGACGTGCTAATGAATGATAGAGTTGTGTTTAAAGTAACTTTATTATATTGACTGACTACTTCACTAATAAAATAAATTAACTATGATTTGACCCCAACTAATTTCTCTTATCTTTCTAATTTATATCATCACTTGAATCACTGAGTCTTGATTATGAACTCGTCAACTTATGACCGTTCATTGCTTCCTAAGACTTTTGACTCTTGAAAGAACTCTAGCTATTTAGCAACAATTTAGTTGACTGGGATACATGAAAATATAAATATTACCTTTACGCAATTAATTTGTTTTCTTTTTTTAAGCATACAATGAATGTACTGCATGTGTGGGTAATCTTGTAGCACAAAAAAGTATTTTTGAGTGGCCTTTATAAAAATACATTTCAAAGGTAGGTTAAAATAATTGACAGAATAATGTGATGAAATTGGACAATTGAACTTTAGTTCACTAATTTTTTGGTTAAACTGCAGATTGCTATTTGTTTCAATTGAAAATTAAGAAAACGCATTCAGAAAACAGATCAGATACCACATTAACAATTGACAGAAAAGTAAACTATAACTCTGGGTCCAATTTTTAATTATACACAATGTAGAAATTAGCAGATGCTTGAAATAAAAACCATAATTAATCCATCAAATGCTCAACTACCGGGTCTGTTCTTATAACTCTCTTTGATGTTCATATTGTATTGCATGTATCCGGATCATTTAAGTGCAGTAAGATTTACTGAGTAAAGATATTATCAGAACAGATAATGTATGAACCTAACAAATTAAGATATTGTATAATTCCCAATAGACTTGTTCTAAAAACAGATCTTACAATCAGTAATATTATTAAGAAATTCTTTATACTGAACTTAAAGATAGCTTGCCAGGCAAGGTAATATATGCCCACTGGCAGCTTTGTTTTTAAATAAAAATATTTGGCAGTACAGTAACAATTACCAGTATGAAATATTCAACCTTCAGACATACACTTCTTTTGAACTTTTTGAGGCGATACTGAATAATATTACCAAGTTTCATCAAAATTTGTCAAGAATTGTGCCTTTTAGAGTGTTCACAAGCTAAAAAATGAACACGTTCTCAAGAGCATACGGACATGGGTGAAGGCAACATACGCCCCCCATTTCATATGGGCGTATAAAAATGTGTGCAACTTTTATCAGCTTTCCAACCAATAGTGACATATTATGATGAAAGGCATTATTTACATTAATTGAGTACATTTTGTAATTTACACAAATATCACAGTTGTCCTAGTGCAGTTACCCACAATCCATTGAAACCTATATTGGGTAAACCCTCGATTGAACTTCTGACCGAGCTAGAGTAAATGGAGAAATGAGTGATGTCCATGATGTCCATTGAGGGTTGCACTTGAACTTAAACAGCAACAAGGACTAACGTGTTTGAATTGATCAGATATTTTGTTCAAATATCTGAATAGTGAGGGTCTGATCTGATCTGTACAACTGAACACTGGACTAAAACCTTTTCAACTAAAAAAAAACTTACTTGAATAGATTGATATATATATATTACTTTCAGCTGGCCAATTAGTGTAGGTATAATAATTGACTGTGACAAATTGCTGAATAAAACGTTAACATTCAGATTGAATAAAACCAGGTCAAGTTTCAGATAATTCAAGGGAAAGTAAGTTCAAAGTAATTAATGATTATTATTTATATTAATAATTAGTTAGTAATTATCATTCCTTCTCAACCTATTTTACGATCAGATTACATTCGGTTGTCATTATTATGTTCAAACTTATCAAACAAACATTTATTTTCTATTTGATGTAACTCGTGTTGCCAATCATTTCTTGAAGAGTTTCATGAAATATTTAATAGTGATCAGTGATCAATTAAAGAAGCATTTCTAACAATCATATAATTGTCATTTTAATAATCCAATCCAGTGGTCATATGCATATTGTATTGTGTTTCACTCAATTAAGACCATAACAAAATTATTTAGATAAGGTTTGTCCTTGGCCTTGAGTGTTAATGAAGCATTGCACTGGGGGAGTTTGAAATAATATTGTACACAGGACTGGTGATAATGACATGTTGTTCATGTAAATACGGGAAAATACAATTCACATCTTGACTACATTTTATTTTTCGTTTAAAGCACTTCCAGTAATGATTTATACAGTAACAATTTACAAAAATTATTTACAATGATTAATAACAAAAATAATAACAACTTGGTGACATGGTGGTGAATGATGATCATGATGATTTGTCTGTGAACATGATAACTCTATCAAATGTTACTTCAGACATACATGAATATAGTTGATGACATTGGTTGTCGCATTTTCTGGTATATGCATGATGAGGTTGAAATTACTATCACTGACAGGAACTGGATGTTTTAAAAATGTGCTGTGACTCGGTTGATTTCCATCAAATCATCCATTAGCTGAAAATTAGAATGAGAGAAAACTAGATATTTGTTGAAATCATTTTCATCTACCCTAGATACTTGTCTTGAGAATGAAATGATTTGTCATCAAATTAATTTCAGTTTTATTCATTTTTAGAAAACTAACCTGATCAGTAGATGTACCAATTCTTTTAGAAACTTCATTCTTTTCATTATGACTGAGATGAACAAATCTCCATAATAATTCACCATCTAATATATTTCTACAGGGATTGGATAACTCAGGGAATGTTGTTTTAATAGCTCTACAATATAATATATTAATATTAAACACATTACAAACAACAGATGAGCTAATTTTCAATATTTTATATCACACTTTCAGATTAAATATCTAGTTGTGTAAATTGATCATTCTGTCAATACATCACTTTTCTATTTAAAACATTTACAAAATACAACATGAGACTTTATTTTAGAGACAGTGTAGTCAAGCAAAGATATTTTTGTTCTTATTCAAATCTAGACATGAGAACTTTATATTCAGGTAGAATAAATAGAAATTACAACTTAACAAGTTTAACTTATGTACTACTTACACTATAAAAAAAATTTACTGTTTGTATTAATGTTTTGAATTAGACCTGAATTTGCAAAAATATCTTTGTATCTTTATGTTATATATATATATATATATATAAGGCCTTACCTATATCCTTTAGGATTGAGACCAGCTAGATGTGGTATTAAAGTTAACATTATACTCTGTAACATAGTTAATCTTCTATAGACTTTCTCTGTTACTGGTAGTAAGAACCCTAGACTGCCATCCAGTGTAGCTGCAATATCAAATTGTATTATGTTGTTATGTTATTATGTTCAAAGTAAGCACAGAGTTTTATATTGAATTTTAGTCAATTCTATATATTTAATTCACATCAGCAAAGAAAACCTTGTTCATTAGACTGAAACATCTGCCTCTATTCCAGCCTTTGGTAGCCATCTTGAAAGTTGTCAGCTGATGTAGAGACAGAAAAGAGACCTTGCTTGAGGGTATTTTTCGCACTTCCAAAGGTGTGGGTTTTTAAAACCTATTTAATTGAATCGGATCCGCCAAACCCAAACATATTCAGAAAGATGGATATTTCGTAGTTCAGTCATATCATCATAATCCCCCTACATCATTTATGTCACGTCTGGGTTCCATCAAAGTTTTTTTTAATGAACTAATCTCTCGTCATTTAAAAGTTCAAAGGTCATGGGGTCACTAACAAAGTCATTTACAGTCATCTGAAAAGTAATTTAATATCATGCTAGAAAAAAAAAACACATCTTTTGGAGGTGTGGAAAATCACCATAAAACATGACCCTACTCCAGCTGATAACTGTAAAAATATCTAACATAGGTTGGAATAGAGAGCAGATGTTTCAGACTACTTGATCATAAGACAGATTGTTTGCTACTTACCAAAATAAGTAACATGTCGATTTTCAACCAATGCTAATGTCTTTTTATCAATGGAAGGATCAGATAATTTGCACCGAACACGGAAAAATGAATTAATATGTGAACCCATGTTAAAATCTGCCTTTCTTATTAATCTCTGTCCACCAACACTCTCTCTAGCTGAAAACAACATCTATATTTAAATATATCCTTGAGAATAAATTTAATATTCATTTGACCAAAAAGCATTATTTCCCCATTCAGTGTCAGATCTAAATGGTCAGGATAACATTATACCCTTTATATGTATTTTGTATTTTGATTTTACTGAATAAATTCTCCAAAAATATACATTCTAAAGGAGGACCTGCACAAAAAACAATGATACAACTTTGGACAATAATAAGTATACAAGCAATGTACATGTAAAAATATTACTTCAGGATGAATTAATACACACCTTCTGGTTGATAACTATAAACTAAAATATTCTTATTTCTATCTGATACTACAATAAGAAGAATAAAATATTCAATTATAAATCAAAATAATAAATATTGAACAATCAGATTGAAATATAAAGTAATGTTTGAGGACTTATCTAAATGGTAACTTACCAACAAAGTTTAAAACATTATTATCTACCAGAAAATTAACTCCATAAACTTCACATGGTTTAATATCCTAAATAAATAAAGTAATATTGGCAATCTGTGACAAAATTGTGTCAAAGGGACAGGTTCACAATCCGTTTGATTTGTCATACCTAAGTCACTAAAAAGAGAATTTTTTAGCTAATCCAATCAATATGGGGTTCACAGCTCACCGTCAAAATTTCAAGCCTTCAGATCCATGTGTATCAAGAATTATGTAGGTTTGAAAGTGAAAATGATGACTTGTCTTTTCTTGAGACTGACATGTACAGAAAAGACATATATAGTAATATACAGTAAATAAGGAATTCTGCATTTTTAGTACATTTCTAACAATTCTGATAACTATTTACATATATTCAAGACACAAATCAACTCCTGAAAATGGCAAATCTGTCCTTTTCAATATAAATACAAGGCCTTTTAAAACAGGAATTTGAGGTGAGGCTATAACATGATGTAATTTTTATTCTCAACTCAACGTGTGAAATTCTAGTAATCTTAGTTAACTAAATAAACTTGGATAATGCGGAAAGAGCAATGTCAAGAGGTTTGGCTAAGCCAGCTGTTAAACTGGATGTTTATGATAATAAATAGTTCTTTCTTCCCATATCACTTAAAAAAACTAATGCATGATTGATTGGCAATCACATAAATATTTTAAATGGCAGATAAATAGCTTTATCTATGCAAAACAGAAACTGATCTGACAAGAGATCAACAAATTAATAATATTTGTGATACTTACTCGACTAGCTAATGATAAAACTTTATAATCTTCCTGATACCTATATACAGCTATACTCTTGATTAAATCACCAGCTACTATTAGGTTTTTAATAGTACATAATGAATGGATATAAACATAAGTATCAATAAATGCTACACCAGCTAAATCATGATCTTTTAAGGTCCACATATATAACTGAAAATATCACATCATAATCATTATTATATTTACGCTTTCTTATCAGTTCTTGTTCAATTTGTATGTTTTAAATACAAAACATTGATCTAACAGATAAATAGCCATCACATACAAAGTGGTTGGATCTTGCACCCTCTTTCTATCTCTATAAATGTCTTGATTTTACAATATTATTTTACGATATCAAAACACTCTAGATTTACCTCTTTTCCCATATAAATTTAATTTGAGCATGAAATATGATTTTATTTGAGGCGAAATACCATTTTTAAAAAGTTATTGAATTGTAGAACAGATGAATTGGCCATTGATTCATGTACATAGCCGATGGTTGATGACGAAGTGGTTTCTAGATTATTGAAAAAATCTTGTTTTTCACATGAAATTAATTGAAGGTAAACATTGAGATAGACTATCAGGTATTATAATAGTCACATTCAGGAAATCTGTAATTCCTACCAACTCAGGATTTCATTTCCTTAGTCAAATATAAATATGTTGAAATCAATATGATGTAGTCAATTAATAGGAGTTAATTACTAATATAATATCATTTATTGATTACATCTATTTACTATATAACTTTTATTACATCTAAATACATAGTCTCACTTTATCTTACTGTTATATTAAACTTTATAATCTACTTCAAACTTCTTAATGTTTTTACTCTATACATATAAAGGTTACTTTCTAACTTTATCTAAAATAATTGGTGCTTTTATATCTGTCTGTACAGTAATTCAACTATTTAATATGTTTGCCAAGCAGTCTAGTGTTTTCTTTAAGACGTTCCAGACTTTTCAATTCATTTCTTCAAGACAAAAAGAACGTTATCATTTCTATTTTAAGTAAAGAGATAAAAGATAATCAATTCTTTATAAGCAGCTTATAGTATAATAATGTTATATAAAAATCTTATTTAGCTCCCAGCCGTATAAATAGCCTTGTATATATTCTGAAATCTTTGTAACTAGTAAACATAGAACTCAAATAAAACACATTCCAGAAAAACAAAGGGACAGTATGCAAAATTTTCATTATCAAAAACCTTGTTAAATATACCTGAAAATATTTCTAAAGTATGTTATTGATATCTATGTATCTACTTGATCAAACTGAATTTGTTTTGAAAGGCTTAATTAAAACAGAACACCAATTGTTAATTAGGCAGTTTGACCAAGTTTGGCTTTGGCTCAACATTATTGGTTAAAACCTTTATATTTCTCTGCAATTAGGCGTTTATTTTACTTAAATCAGGGACACATTTCTCTATATTTTTGTGTACAGTTTTCACAAATTTGAGCAAAAACAATTTTTCTACCAACAAAAAAAAGCAAAATGCCTCTTCAAAGTCTAATTTGTTTAATTTTTCAAGCTGATGAAGCTCAACTTACATACCTACATCTCATTTATGATTTATGGATAGATATAAGTATCAGTAATGATATTGATTCAATATTCAGCTTTCTGATCATTTTACTTAATTTGAATAATGACAGTTTCTGTCTGGATAATTAACCTGTGGTATCTTCAGCAATTTACAGCAGTTTTTTGGAGAGGATAAAGATGCTTGATTTTATTTCTGAAGATAACCAAGTGTAGCATACACTGAAATATTAGCAGGTAACACATATAATTACACATCTAAATCCTTTAGGGCTAATTTTCTAGGGACAGAGTCAATAACTTGTATAAAAACAGATATAAAACCCTCTTACAGCTACCCACATGATCTACTTTATCTAATATTGATTAGGTAAACACTGTATCTTCTACACATGGTACTTACAACTAGAGACTAATATAGTCATATGTCACTTACTGACATAGACAATGACTATTGTTGATTTAGTTAATCAAGTACTGATTACAGTTATATAGTTAGTTCACCATATGAATACATCGACATTAGGTTTATCAGTAGAGATACTACATGACATAAAAAGGGTAGACAAAGTACTGTGGTACTTAACTAACACTTAAACCAAACATTCATGTCTAAACAATACATTGGTCTCTAATGGGATAAATCTATTATTAAATCTAATCTAAAGCTGTGTCAACATTGTCAACTTATTTCAAGTATGTGCTGACATATTCTTCTTGTTCCTTTATCCGTGAAGTACCACTACAACTGGCATGCAATAATACAGAGCAATACAATAGAGCATTAGAATCAATACCTTTTGTCCTATAGCAGTCACTAAATAACCATTACAATCAGCCATTGCTGTGATTGGACCTTTCTGTTCTTTCTCTAGTAATAACTGTAAACAATACAAAAAATATATTATTATATATATAATTTATTATATTACTAAACGAAAAATGCTGCTTCCAAGATCTGCTACTTTCAATTTCAACAAGAAACATTTACTCTAGTCAAACTCTCAGAAACATTTGACTAAAAATACCTTACCATGAAGAATAACCTTGTCTAATTAACGTTCATTTAAGAAATTTTCAAAGATTTACAAACTGGAAAGACATACCTTAATTTTAGTTTTAGTCAATGGCTGACCAGGTTCAGGTACTACTTCAATTACTTCAAATATCAATACCTGTAAAAATAAAACAAATTATGTTGGATATAGCATAAGACTTTCTCAAAACTTTCATTTCTACAGATACTATACACACCTTAAATATTTCTATTTACCAATGTATGGTAGATAATAATGTAAAGAAAACTTAATGCACTTTAACATGACATCATTTGGAGTTATAATTAGCTTCACAAGTTCTGTTGTTGAAAAAATGCATACCCGTCCTTTAGAGCTGATTTCTTCACCATAACAATACATAGTACCAACAGCTATAAAACCTTTTAATCCAGATACAGTCCCTTCTGATTTTAACTTAACACATTTTAATGATGTTACTTGTTCCCATTCTTCAAACTCATAACTATAACACAAATTGAAATAGATTAAAACAAAAAATATTGAGCTAGTTTTCAAAAAAATATAATTTACTACAAAAAACAAACACTAACATACTTTATATCCTTAATAAGCTGAAAAAGTACTGTAAAGACCAGAAACATCAGTCAATACCTTTTCATTATACAAACTGTAGTAATTCAAATGAAATAAGTTTTACGTCCTACTTTTCTGCCTTACAAGAGACATTTTGCCAGGACAATGGCATAAGTCTACTCTTTTTCTAGCATTGAACCCTAGAAGATATCAGATGTGCTTCACATAAAGTCACTACATGGTTTTGGGCAAGGCCAAGATGAAAATTTAATATGCTCAACATTTCATACATAAATTTTGGTAGAAATATCTGACTCACTGTGAATTAGGTATAACTTCCCAGGTACTTGGTGTAAATAATTGTAAGGTAAAAACATCATCAGTTGGATACACAAATCTTTCATCTACATAAATAAACAATCCATAATAAACAAATGTATGAAGATAATGGACCAAGAACAATAACTCTATTGAAGATGTCAAAGACAATAACTTAGTTTCTAACAAGGAAATCTGAACCGACAGATTAGCATAGACAGGAATAGATATAAGAATAAGAAGTATTTTATAGACATCCAAGCAAATATTCCTCTTATTTGTCGACTTTGTCCTATGACAAGAAATAACTACTCACCTTTCTCCACCACTTCAAATTCTCGTTCATCTAGTTGAGTTATTTTAGATTGTTTATTAAATATTTCTTGTCTACTAGTTACTACAGCATATGTCTAGAATAGACAGTTAGAATAATTCATATCTTTTCATCATCTTTTGTAAATATACTGAAGTGTTCTCAAAATTTAATTATTCAAATGACAATGGCGTATGAGGAAAGCAAGTCAACTCTCAGAACAGGAGTGACTATCAACAACAAGAGTATGAAAAAATGAAAAAAGTCTTACCTTGCTATCTGTATGATATCCTATATAATGTGGTGTACAGCGTAATGGTAATTTACGTACTGGCCAGGGAGCATCATAGGTAACATGAGTAGGTAGGATACAGATTCTCATTTCATTCTAGAAAACATTCATATACATAAATAATTTCTAAATCAGTGAGGTTTCAGTCAACATTATTATACCAGCATAGCCTTGCCTAGGACTGCCTTTACTGAGTTTTATAAAGTTGAAATGACAATGAAATGAATGGAATTTTATGTTCTACTTTTCTGCACCTATGGGCTAATGAAGATGGGCAAGGCCATCGAGTGTACAATTTGAGAAATTTGCCTGAGAATATAGGCCAAAGAATATTGAGATGAATAATGCCATACAAAATAAAGTCTGTTTTACAGGCCTTTTTTCCAAAAATTGAGGCAAGAGGGCGAATTTATTAATTATAAGCTCTTTTTAGATTTTCAACTGGGATAAATTAGAGCAAGCAAAAGCATTTAGTATTTATTACCACAAACTTAATGTACATTTAATATTAAGGCAACAATCAGGCATTTTTAGGCCTGTAAAACAGACTATTTATTTTGTATTGCCTAATGCCTTAAAATAACTACATGTATATATAACAGCATCAAAAGCTTGGATTTGTCACTTCTATTGTTGGCAGCACATGAATAGTGCAATATAATAGCATTCAGTTGACAGAAGCAATACAACAAGGCATTCCAGATCAAGATATTGCCCAAACAGAAGTGAAAGACTGAACAAACCTGTGTATTAAAATATAGAAAACCTTTAGGACAGTTGACATTATTAAACTGAGTAAAACAAACAACATAACCATCAATATTCATAGGATGTACTCTTAATTCACCTTTAGTTGTCATAAATAACCAGTGTGGATAGGCACCACATACAAATACCTATAATATACAAAAATACAATTCAAGTGTGTGGATAGGCACTACATACAAATACCTATAATATACAAAAATACAATTCAACTGTGTGGATAGGCACCACATACAAATATCTATAATATACAAAAATACAATTCAATTGTGTGGATAGGCACCACATACAAATACCTATAATATACAAAAATACAATCCAATCGTGTGGATAGAAACAGTGTACAAATGCCTTCAATATACAAAAATACAATCCAATCGTGTGGATAGAAACAGTGTACAAATGCCTTCAATATACAAAAATACAATTGATTAGTTAGGATATGCAACATATACAGATACCTACAATAAATCAATGTAAAATATCTTAAAAATACAATTCCATAATCAAAGAGCATGAATCACTTACCCCAGCATACCCAGAAACATCATCAAAATATCTTAATGATTGTACAAAACTCTTCTTTGGTATAACTTCTTCCATTTCACCTTTTTTTTTACTTTTACCAGTTTTACGACTTTTTAATATCAAATCATGTTGAAATCTTTTAAATCGGATTTTTAGGTGATGTTGTTTATCACTTTGTGTTGGTTGAAATGGAAAAGCTTCATAGATAAATAATTCTTCTTCAACACGTGCCTACAGAGTTAAGAATATATTTTAAGTAAGACATAAAAAAGAATTTAGAATTCAACACAAAATGTCCTGAGATATATTTCGATCTGTGTTTGAATCTATGGAAACAACTAAACTGATTTATCTTTTGAATAACATCACAAAGATTGATCCACAAGATTTTAACAATGATTGAATATAAAAGTAAAATACAAACCAGTAAATAGGGATGTGATTTATTATAGCCTAAACCAACAACTAATAATTCTTTAACTTTAGGTAATTCAAGATAACTTTCTCTCTCTTTCTGTCCTTTAACTTCTTGATTTTCACCAGTAGAACTGGTACTACTCATACTGAAAATATCAACATTGTCTCCGTTTGAGAAGTTAACTACAAAGAATTAATACATACTCATCAGTTTATAAGTTATAAAATTGCTGTAAAACTCTCTTTAGATCATTACTAGGATACAAATGATCCAAAAAAAGATCATCAAATAGGTGAATTTGACAAAGGTCTTTAAAGGATTTGATCAATAAAATCAAAATCAGACATTTTGAGATCAGACTGATGATTGTACGGTAACAAATTTTCCTTTCTGTGGGTAAGAAATAAGCTAACCCTTACCTGGATTTAACATTATCAAAACCTTGTCCACTATCAACTAACACACGATGTCCACCAGGGAAATTCTTCACATAATAACAGGCTTTAAACTCAGGTACAGAATAGATCTACAATATAACAGATAATAGGTATAAGCCAGTCTTAAACCTTGCTTTCATTTATATCTTTGAAATTGAAGTGCCAAGAAATAGTTTTAAAAATTTCTTTCTTAGGATTATGCTTAAAACTACTATTTAAGAAGACGCATTTCTGAATTTTACCTCCAATTCGCCATTTTCACGACACAATATTGACCAATAAGATGGTATGATATCTTTTGCTTCTTTCTTCTTTTTACTAAAAAAAATATAACAATGAACAGTCAATTAAAGGCACCCAACAGCCTAAAGCATAGCATTGGACAGTTATCACAAAAAAAGGGTGTATTTGGTTTCATTCTCTTTCATAGAATAAGTGGATTTTTCCAAATGAATAAATTCATTGTTATTACCGTTTATCAGTAGATGTTGTTTGTACTGATGAAGAACCAGTAAATGATGTACCAAATACTGATGTATCTGATGCACCATATAATAATTCATCTTCATCTTCTATATTACTATCATCTAATTGTACAACTTTCTCATGATGTTTCTCATCCATAGCTTGATCTAGTTCTGTATCTTTAATATCAGATGTAGTAAACATACCACTCATATCTTTATAGGCTGTCACAACTAATATCTTAGATTTCTACAATATATAGATGTCAAATTACCTTGCAATCACAAATATATTAGATGGCAAAGATTTTCAAATTGAATACTGGTAAGCCAGATATGAAAATAAGCAGATAATGGCTTAAATTTGTGCAATTATTCTGTGCCTTTGTAAAGTCTTTAAGGAAACATTTCGATCTCTCTAAATATTCAAATACAACAGATTGAACAAAGTGTATCTAAATTTCATCTTCTTATTTAGAGCTTCTTTTTTATCATCTTCCAGTAGGGTAATTACATTTAAGTTAAACTGAAATCAAAAGCCTACCATAGATATTTGAGGTCTAGTGACTGCTAATCTAACACCTGATCCGTAACTATCCTGTTTTAATGTTAATAACATGATCTGTCCATCTTCCATCATAATAACAACATAGGGATCAGCTACAGAACATTGCACTACTATACTACCAGTATCTAGTGGTATATGTTGTAACTGTTTAACTGTAATATAAATATTCTTATTCAAGCAATAATCATCAGACACGGTAAAAATTCCATAAAACAAACCCTTACCAAATGTAATGAAAGCAAATAAATAACTGTTGACATTATGAAATCAAAATAAATACACATGAAGACATTACAGACACCGTGGAAATAACAAGAGTTTCTACTTCCACAGCATGTTTTAGTCTTTTACTCTGTGAAGAACTGATAGCTGAAATTGATCTTGTAAAGCAACTATTCAAAGTAATGTATCTGTGAAAAAGTAAATTACCTCCTTCTAGTAATCTAATACTATTGGTTGAAACTTGTAATATATATTTATTATCACCAATATTACCAGCAAATACTGTCGGACTCTGAGTACTAAATCCACTATGGTCCAATTCCATTATTTCATTACCTGTCTGAAGAACCATACTGGAATCTGGACGACTCAGTATCAGAAATGAATGACCTCCTTTAATTGGTTTAGGGGAATCTTCAGACTCATCTGTGTTCTATACATAATAAAACATGTATATACATTATACTGCAAACATCACAGACCAAAAACACACAGAACATAACTTTTTGATGCATTTTTTTGTTTAAATATGTTTTACCTTTCTTTTAAGACCCACTCTTTTTGACAATCAAAATATACCACCTACCTGCTGTTCATCATCTTGTTGATTAAAAACAGTCCACATATCAACACAATCTGGTAGTTCAAATGTTGTTACAACTTGTGGTCTGATACTTCTCTATAATAAACATTATACAGTATATAACATCATATGGAACGAATTATTGTCTATAATTGGCGGGTTCATTTTAATTTAAGTTTAAGTAAAATAACAACATCAAAATATTAGCTCACTCCACAGGCATCTGGCTTTGTCATTCATTTCCACCTTGAATGACTCAAGAGTAGCTGTCTGACTCAAACATTGTATTGGCTGGTAGATTTTGACTGATGGATTTCTATTTAGATAGAAACATGTTGGTTTTCTCCTCATGATGACACCATTGAAATCAAATAAATATTTGTTTTGTTTTGTATCAATTACCTGTAAAACAGACAGAGCACCATTTTTACCATAGCCTGATGTAGTGACTAACTCTAGGTCAGGATCTACAGAATTACCAAATTCTTCCGATAAAAAAGCTGGTTCTCCCATCTCAATCTGTCCACATGGTGCTATATTCCATATATTATCACATACCTGATACAACAAATAAACCGTTCATGTAGAATACTTTATGTTTGCACTTTAAGGCATTTACAATTATTTTTTTTTTTATCATTTTTCTTTTAATAATTTTTTTACACATGCAAAAGAATACAAGATTTTGGATATGCAATTTGAATAAACATCTAAATACACAGAAGACATATAATGAAAAACCACAGTATGAAGTGAATAAGGCTGTTTTAATTTTCATAGATAAAAAATAACATTTAATATTTCTAAGTAAAGCAATGTCTGTAATGTAAATAACACTTTGATTCAACTAAACCTAAACAAAATCAAAGATATTCAAATATAAAACCTATAAAAAAGTTGTACCTCAAATGAGTAAGAAGTAATAGTTGTACTAGCTGTTTCACTAACACCATACACTTCTAGTTCATCTAAATTATCTATCTCTGTTACATCACTAGCTAGATGTTCACTGCCTTCTAACTTTCTCTTTTTATTACTAGGTTCCTAAATAACAGAATCATATATAGTAGTCATACATACAGTAGACCAATTATTTACTTTTCATCACTATCATATACTCTTTTTTTTCGCTGTCAACCCATTGTTTTCAAATCAAGTTAGTAGGCCTACTTAGTAAAGTTAGTAAATTAATTAAACAAGATCATGACACATTTCATGTGTTATTAATTGTATAAGAAAATTTGCAGTTTGAAAACAATTAAATACTCACTGCTGTCTTCCTATCAATATCTGTTTTATCTGTCTTCACTTGATCTTTCTCTGTATATTTCAGTAATAAAGAGTTACCTAATCTTGATCCCAGAAATAAATATCCATCATCACATTGACATATCTACAATGACAATTTTTCATTATAAAGAACTCTTATCATATACAGTCCATTATTTATTAAGGTAGTTTAAATACTCATGAACACAGCATATGTCTAGCTTGTATAATATTAATGACCTTTTCTTTACCTTGAAACAGATCGATGGTTATGTTTGTAATCACTCAATGAAATGTAATAAAATAAAACTTACACAAGTTGTGAGAACACTAGAAGCAGCTTTATCAAAGTGAAAACTTCTTACAGTTCTCATTCCATCAACAACTAATGTTAATACATAACTACAATACAAATAATATCATATCATCATTCCTAGCATAGCAGAAGCCTATCAAAATTATTATCCAAAGCTGAGTGTTATTCAGATCCTGCCTCTATTATAACTTACTGCTTCCATGTTTATTTTTCATTGTAACATATCATAAGTTAAGATTTCAAAGTAAATTAATGAAACTTACAGTTCACCTCCTTTCAATGATAGAACTAATTTATCATAAGATATCATTGTAGCTTGTGAACAATCTAATGCCATACGAACACCTTCTTGAGGACCTAATAAGAAATTAAAAATCAAATTTAAACAAGTTTTATAGAAGGTTATGTTATGCTTAAAATTGTATTTTGTATAAATCTCTATGATTATTATTTTTAAAAGAATATTAGTACTCACGTAGAGGAAAAGCTGAACATGTTTCTGCTATACTATTTAATGATACAGCATAAGGTGGTACACTCTGATTTAAATATAGTAAAGAATTATTGGCAAACAATAAAGCACCACCTGGAAATATAAATGAAGTCACCTTCTGATTTTAGCTTTATTGAGAGAGGCTGTAGCATAGTCAGTTAGAGCAAAGGAATCTTTACATGTCAACATTTTTAAAGCAAAACAAATTAACAACAAAAAATGTTTTCCATCACATGAAAAATATATCAAAATGGTAATTAATATACAAAATCTCACCTATAGGTTTTGGTATAGCTATACAACCAAAACAATCAAAAGGTAAAGAGTTGATGTGCCAGATAATAGGATGTACTTTCTGCTGTATATTTAATGATATAGCTACAATACAACTTGTATCTGTTCTAACAGCTGTACGACTACAAAAAATATCAAGAATCATATAACTACAATAATACAAGGAATATTTCATGTTGGGGTTGGGATTTAAAATCTGATTTAAGCTTCAAAAGTTTTAATTGTATAGCTCAATTTTAATATTGATTTGAGTAACTATTCTGTTTCTATACGGATGTGTAGTAAACATAACACTTACCCAGCCCAAGTACGTAATGGTTCATACAATATAAAAACTGTAGGTTCATGGTAACCATGTAAAAACTGAAAATCCTTTACATTAGTTATTTTTTCATCGAGTTTTCGTAAATCCACAATATATGTAGACATTATAGGAGATGTAGTGGTTCTGAAAAAAATAAATGTGTTATCATTTCAGTATATTGAAGATAAGACTATAGTCTTAAACTACAAAATCAAACTTTATATATTTCCTTTCATATTTCATGACATTCTCATTTTCATGACTTGTAACTTGTAGAGCAAACATTATTAGATAGAATTCACAAGTTCTTACCCTCCTGGTGTAGCTTGATCTATATCATCTATAACAACATCTCTTTTAAATGGTAAAATAACTAATCTATTAGTATAAATACACATAGCAGCACATCTACCATCTGGGTCAACTCTTATAGTAGGTATACCTTCTGGTCTCGTAAATCCATCCTAAAATATTTTTTAATCATACAATACAATACAATATCATACAATATATATTTGTATTACTTCTGATTTGTACATGTAGGACTACTGCCTTGGAAGATATTAATCCACAAATTACCAGTTAATCAGCTTATATTGAGTAAATAAGAAAAAAAAACAAGAATGCTTTCAAACTTTGGCAGCAGAGCATATATATATATATACTTGATCATATCAAAAATGAAAACAGACCAACCTTTAAATCACTCTCTTCAAATTGATGTAATGATGATGTTTTTAGATTATGTGTGGCTGGATCATATTCCAACACTGAAAGCTGCAACAACACAAAAAAGTATAACTGAACATCTGTTCAGACTACTAAAAATTGCCCAAACAGCATCAAATTTGAATTGATAAAATCAGATCTCATATGTTTAGAGAAGAATAAGAAAACCTAGTTTCTTCTAAATCTGAAGAAAACAGTAGTCCCTACTCCATAGTTTGTTGTATTCAATGCATTCATAAGAAAATAAAAATAATAATTTGACTTCACTGACCTTGGCATCAAAGAAACTAAGAACCAATGAATCTCTGACAGCACCAGGCAATCTTACAGCTTGTAATGACATCACATTACCAAATAAACTATAGGTACCAACACATTCTAACTTTGTACGTCTACTTTCTATAAATAGATTTTTTATTTATTGAGTTTGAATTCAAAATTTGCTGACAAATATGATACTCTAAAACATTCAAAAGAATTTTCCATCTGTTTAATTGTTGCCATTTAAAAACTCAAATGTGTAAATGTATTCACAGAGATTCATAATTGAACAAAAATCCTTTTGATTTAATTTGATTAAGAGCACAACATAATAATCATACTGAATCTGATCAACTTTCAGAATTCCACCAAATTACCTTCTGATTTATCACCATCACTGCTTGTAATAACCTGAAAATATTTATAATCACCTTTAGTTAAAAGATAGCTTGCGTTGCAAGGTAACATACGCCCACTGGCAGCTGTCAGAAAAAATAAAATAGTCTTTAGAGACTAAAGTACGAATTTTCTCATATTGAAGAAATCATTCATGCTGAATAATTCCACAAAATTTTTTAAACTCAATATCAATAACCCAAATACAACAAACAATTAAATCACACAGCTCTAATCAAGGGCAAAAAACAACTTTTGACGCGTGTTTACAAAGTCAAGGGCAATAACTCAAAAAATGTTCATCAAAAATCTCTCTTGTTAGAACTTGTCCGAAATCTTATCAATTCCAATGATCACACCAAGTTTCATCAAAATCGGTTGAAAACTGTAGCTTCTATTGTGCTCACAAACAAATTTTAATGCGTTTTTCGTAAGTTAATGGCATTAACTCAAAAACATTTCATCGAAAATGCGTCAAGTTAGAACTTGTCCGAGATCTTTTCATTTTCAATGATCACACCAAGTTTCATCAGAATCGGTTGAAAACTGTAGCTTCTATTGTGCTCAAGAACAAATTTTGACGCATTTTAACAAACTCAAGGGCAATAACTCAAAAACCGTTCATCGAAAATGCGTCAAATTAGAACTTGTCCGAGATCTTATCAATTCCAATGATCACACCAAGTTTCATCAGAATCGGTTGAATACTGTAGCGTCAATCCTGCTCACAAATTATTTTTAACAAATTTTGACGCGTTTTAACAAACTCAAGGGCAATAACTCAAAAACCGTTCATCGAAAATGAGTCAAATTAGAACTTGTCCGAGATCTTATCAATTCCAATGATCACATCAAGTTTCATCAGAATCGGTTGAAAACTGTAGCGTCAATCCTGCTCACAAACTATTTTCAACAAATTTCAACACGATTTAACAAAGCCAAGGGCAATAACTCAAAACCCGTTCATCAAAAATGCGTCAAATCAGAATTTGTCCGAGATCTTACCAATTCCAATGATCAAACCAAGTTTCATCAGAATCGGTTGAAAACTGTAGCTTCAATCCTGCTCACGAAATATTTTTAACAAATTCATATTCATATGGGCGTATAAAAATGAAAAATTAACAAACTACTGGTTATGTTATAATATAACAATATAATTTCAAAGATAATCATTTCCAAAAAATCTGCAAAAAGATTTATTTTTCAAAAGGCTATATAAGGTGCTGCATTTAGGCATAGAAAAATGAAGTTGAATAAAATCATTACCTCAGCATCTATATTTAATCTATAAATAGAAAGTTGATTGACACCAGCTAGAACTAAATTCTTTTCATCTGTACTGTATAAATTACAGTAAATACTGTGTTCTATACCAGTTGGTTTATGTATCTGTTTATATACTGAATACATCTTCTTTTTTCTTTAAGACCCAACTAGATATAAGAAATAATGTCTTTTAAATTTTGGCAATAATCGTCATATAAAATATAAGTATAGAAAGCTAATCTCAGATCAAGGCTATTGATTTTCCAAACAAATCACTAATGCAAAATCATTATCCAATGTCATTAAATATAAGAGTCAAAAAATTAATGACTGTACAAATGCAGTTAAACTTTCAATCGATATCAGTGTGAACTCAAAGATCAAAGGCAACTCCAACATTCAAAGACATCTCGGACCACTTTTTATAAGACTCTAAGATCTTTTTTTTATATAATACTTGCAACTCAGACCACTGTTAAAAATAAAATAATAAAAGATGATCCTGAAAAGGACCCTTAAAAGGCCAGGTAGTGGGGTCAGTTTTTTAAGAAGACACTGCAAATTAATCTATCTCGGCCGAACTGAAGGTTTGCTGGGGCTTATTATATATAGGATGTCTAAGGGCCTATAGGCCTACTCGATCCACCCTTTCGTAAGATTTGGATCAACTTTCAAAATCACCTCAGACCACATTTTTAAAAAACGCTCATAAAAGTAAACGTAATTTGTGTTTCTTTCTTGCATTGACAATAGATCTAATATGGTGTTTATTGGGTAGACACTGTCTAATTATTATTTGAACCAAATAGTTCGATAGAAAGAAATATATTTATGTACCAAATCAAGTTGAATTGTAGTTTACAACATTATAGAATAAAAAACTAAAAGAAGACAGCGATCCATCAACATTTGTTGTTCATGGGGGCCGCCATTAAATTTATACAGTTTAGTTTCGTATAAATAAAGTTGCCTCCCCTTGAAGAGAAAACCAGAAGCCTACAGACAACAGTTAATTATGTACTTACAGGCTTTATGTCACGACAGTGTATTCTCCTTCTTAAACGGTTTAAACCAACACACTATTATAGGGTAGAAAAAGGTGTTTTTATTTCAATTTCATTAAATTTGCATTACATGAAACGTATATTATTTTTGAGCTAGACTACATTTTATTATTTAATGTCACTATACTATAGCCTTCAGCTTGTAGGGGGAGCCGCGGTGTCTCAGTGAGTTAGAAGCTTGCACGCTAACCTGAAGGTTCAGGGTTCAATCCCGGCATAAGTCGAGATAATACTATCGGATTTTTCAACCCGGTTCCCCCCTGTCAGTGATGCAGGTACGAGGGACTGACATGGAAAAAGCGTCTAGTCGTTCGGATGGGACGATAAACCGAGGCCCTGTGCTCTACAGGCTGTGCACGTTAAAGATCCCTCGACAGTTGGAATCGAAATTTCCCTCATTGCACCCTGCATGGCGTTGCCCGTCTTCATTAGCCCACATGGTGCAGAAAAGTAGGACTTAAAACTCCATTCATTTCATTTCATTTCAGCTTATAGGGCCTATCCATGACTATGGTCCACTGTCCTTTTTGGCAAATGGAAATGAAGTGGCATTTGGATTATAATTGTGTCATATTGTGTTAAAATATAATTTTTTAACTTTCCAATTGACTTTATTGAAATGATGTATCATAGATTTATGTTATGTTCATCAAAATTATCTACAGGGCATATTTGGCATAAATGCATAAATGCATAAAAACATAATAGAACTCTGTAGTAGGGTCACATATTTTAAATATTTGTTTATAAAATTCATAACAAATTAGATAACTAAGATAAATATTTATTTTCTCACAGACATTGAGAGGTAAAGATAACACTATATAATATATACTAACAAATGATACACATGTAATGAATATATACAGATGGATCCTGATTTAAATACAGTTGAGGTATTTCAAGGAGCTGCAAAATGTTTGCTCATTTTTTTGTTTTAAAATCAGAACTAAAACATGCATTCAAGAATCAAAACAAAAAGTTCATATTTTGCATGCCGTAGGCCTATTAATTTCAAAGTTCCTTTAGGTCATATTAATAAAATACAAGATTATACATTTCATGTAAAAACATTATAAAATAATCACATGCGTATGAAATATTCATATATAACATATTTATATATCACACAATAAACAAATAAATAACAACAATATCAGATCACGCTCTTTCAAATGTATGATAAGCCTTTCCAAATGATTTCCCCATCTTCAGTAAGGCACCATTTTTATTTTCATCAGTAACCAATTCTAAGAATCCTTCTGCTACAAATTCAGGTCTGAAATAATATCCCTGATTTATACATTACAGAAGACATAAAAGTAGGTGTAATTGTCACCTGCACTATAATCCTTGCTAAAATGGTGTCTAAGGATTATATAAATATGTAACAGAGATATTAATAGTTTGAAATAGTAATATGAAGATGGAAGTTAAATCTTTTTAAAAAAAACAGGCTACAGGTGACTGTGATTAATATCATATATAAAGAACTGAACTGCAAGTCATCTCTTTTAAGATTAAGCATAGGGTTTAAAGATTAGGGGGAAATTCATTGGCTCAGAACTACTTCACCAGGATGCAGGGAATCATACATAAATTGTGCCTAATAATACTTTATATTTATAATAATGTATTTCATAGGTGCTTTGACAAACCATTCCATAATCTTTATAGTCTTTTTATAAAGAACATAAATAAACCCAAAATCCGTAATATTTTGACGAATATAATATGAACAAAGTTTCCCAAGACTTATATAACGTTAACAAGGTTTACTTACGTCATAACCCCAATTTGTTGTACAAATTGTTTGGCTTTATCAACATTTAAACATGTATCATCACTTATTGAACTGACTAAATTTGTATCAACAAAAGCAGGACATAACATATTCATTCTTATACCATTCTGAGATGTTTCTGGATTAAGCTTGAAAAAATTATAAATTATGGTATACAATTCATGCAGTCATGAAACCATGTCAAATTCAGAACAGGCATATAATAAAGTTTTCTAGTTGTTGAAATGATATTTTGAATAGAATTCTAAAACTGATGTGTTCAATTAATGTAGAATACCTACCACCCAACTTCTGGTAAAACCAACTATAGCATGTTTCGTTGCACAGTAAACTGGACCAAACGGATTGGGATTTAAACCTATCAAAAATAAAGAACATATATTATAAGTATACCTTAGATTCCAGATCTTTCAATGATCTAGCAGGAACTACCATTAATAATACCTTCATACTAGCTAAATTGACTCGAAAGGGGCACAGTGTAATGCAATGTTATCATAGGAACTAATGCTGGCACTGAAAGTTTCAATCTAACTGTTTTGTTTCTTGTTTTTCTGCAGGTTGCCACATTTACCATTCATGATCTAATGAATTTCTTCTTTAAAATCTGTTCTGAGGTATTAGACCATCATCAGATCAAGGGTGGCAAAGGGAGATACTAGCAGAAAAAAAAAGAAACAAAACTTTCCGATTTGAATTTTATTCAGATTTTGATAGTTTACCTGAATATGGAATAAAAAATTAAAAGGGACATTTGTTAACCAACCTGCCATAGAAGAAACATTGACAACAACACCACCTCTACCACCTTTATCTTTTCTTAAATAATCCATGGCTAAATTAGTACCTCTTATTACACCTTTCTACAACAAATATCAAATATATAACATTAAATACCATGAATATGTCGTTTTCACCTATTCTGGAAATTATTACATAAAACAGTCTTGTTGAAGATTTTTTTTGATTTACTAAGCCATCAAAACAAGTTTGTTGCAGGAGAAAAATATAGATCTGTTAATCTGGTTTGAAAATCTCATTTGACATAACTTGATCAATTTGTTCACAATGTTGGTTGAGGTTGCCAATGCAAGATTTAAATATAAGTACTGGGAATATAAGTTAAGTCTAGTCATAGTCATATGAAGTTAGTCAAATGAAAGGGTGGTCTATTATTGAAATCTTTGATATGTATTTATTTTGACTGATGTCACACACTAGATTTATATTCAAGATAAGTTTTTAATGCACTTTAAACCACAGTAAGCCTTGAGCTATTTATAATAGAAGATAAAAGAAAGAGAGTGGGTTGTAAAATGTTTCAATACTGTCAATTTATTCTCAGGATGCGATTAAACTTGATTAGTATGCATATTTGATTCAGATGTCACAAAGTGTAGATTTTTTTATCAAATTGTTTTAACTGATGGACGATTAGCAACATCATCAAAAACTTAGTTTCAGCGGAATCACAGACGTCTGATTACAAATTGGAATAGTGTAAAATTGTTTTTTCCCCGTAGCACTGAAAAATTGAGAAAACCTCTTTATGATCCCTTTAACTCAGATAAATTTAAAAAATGGCATACCTTTTTGAAATAATATGAATATATATATATACATAAAGGTTTTTATCTATTTTGTAGGCTTAAGGCTTTTGTAAAGCTTGTAAGTTATTTTTGAGTCATTTCTGTACAAGTTTTTGTTATCATTTCCTGATGACACAGTGTTTTATAAAACAAGGAATACCTAAAATTTAAGCCTAAATTTCAAAGACTATTTGATTATTCTTATTTCTTAGAGCTGTAATTTTTTAAGTTGATTGACAAATTGATGCATATGATGTATTACATATGTTTTGCATAACTCAAAGTACACATGATACTGTTATTCCTTTTCTCAAATTTTTGACATTTCTACAAATTTTTAAGTAAATAAATGTTCTTATCAAATCAAACCAACGCCTTGTTCCTATAAATTTATCTTTGGCTAGAGGTAATTTTATATGTTTACAATAGATCATTTATCTCAATAATAAGACCATTGATTTCACTTTCTACAGAGACAAATGTCAACAAACTTTCTAATAGCACGATTCAGCATGATTTAGCATGATCTACTTTTATTGTTTAAAGTACAAAGAACACAACAAATCTCTTAGCATGGGTTTCATTTCAACATGACTTACATACAGATTCAATAGTTGTTTGTTTCTAACAATTTGTACCAGATGTTCACTCAATTTGAATCTGAAAACTGTTTCAACACAGCCCCCGCTCTACTTTTCACATAATGACGTGATATATAGTGGTCGCAATTATTTGAAGTCACTTAATGTTAATAATGTATACTTTCAGTCATATTATTTGAAGTTTAGGGAATATGACAATTTACTTTATTCACACGCAGCTCAAAATCAATAAGAAACAATCAAATCATGTTAGCAAAAAAAATCTACTGCCTGAGAGGATATCTGGGGTATATGTATATGGAATGAATTTTTGTTTTATCCTATCAGCCATTCCTGTTGGTTAGCATAATTCATGATGTGAATTAAAATTGAAAAACATAAAGAGGTAAACATCACCTACCAAATTGATATCCACAGTTTTTTCCCATCCAGCCTTCTCAAGGCCTACACCAGCATTATTACACACTATATCTATATTACCAAACATCTCTTTCGCTGTATGGAATGTTTCTACAAATACAATAGAACGATATTATTAGGACACAAAAATACTTTTAAATACTGATGCACTGAAATATAAAATTCATCTCTTCTCAAGTTGCCTGGAAAATAGGACTTTATTCTAAGGTAATAGTATGTCTTTTATTCACTAAATTGATGGTGTATAACAATAACACTAATAGGGTTTGTTGATAATAGGAACTATCCTCATTAAAGATAAATCATGCAACAATGATACAAATATGCATTTCATTAAATAGGTCAATACAGTTTCTTTACCTCTGAGTTTATGATGCTTGGGTGTTAATTATTGTTCTAATGTAACGCTATTTATTATTATACTGTCAGAACTGAGAATGTCACAAGTTGATATTACACAGCCTGCATCACTTACTGGACTATATTATAGACATTGAATATATCAGTATTCTTGTCATCTAGTCTTTAAGTGGATATATATTTCAGAACACAATGAGTGATTGAAAGAAATGACAGACAATTCTGTTTTTTTATCCAACTTTTTTGTTGATGAACATAATTAAGCTACCTTTATCATCTTTCAGAATGATAATTTATATCAGGCTCTCCATGATGAAGCATCAATTGACTTGTGTAACCACAATAGATAGTTCTATAGCTGGGTAGCATTGCCTTCAGATAGATCTTTTAATTTTGACATTTTGACACACCACATGATATGATGTTCAATAGGAAATGAGAAATGTTATTGAAAATAAATAAATGGGTAAAAGGTTTTGACCTTTGTAAATAAATCTATCATTTTTAATAAAAGGTCACAAATTTGGCCCATTAACATTAATTGTTCTGTCAAAATATGACAGAAATATTCATAATGATTAACCACTATTTGACATCATTCTAGGAAAAAATACTCTATATCCTTGGGCTCTGATATTTGAACTAAACTAAATGTATTTTTAAAAGTATTTCCAATTTATCAGATAAATCTTAATACAAAAATGTCAGTAATAATATTTATTTAAGGTAATGTTTAAAGTAGAAATAAGTAAAATATTATATAATGCACATGTAAGTCAATACAAAAATGCATTCTTATTAGGTAAATAAAAATGTGTATACAGCTTATACACTGATTTTTAAAAAAAAGAATTGTCCCATGGTTAGGTTGAAATTGAAAATATATTTCCAAAACACATTATTTGGCATGACATGACAATAATTGACATTTTTTCCCCATTAGATTTGACTAAAAACAGGAGTATGGACCATTTAAATTGAAGGAGTTAAAATCAGACTATATTTTAAAAGGTTACATGCAAATGAAGTTTATGTAAAACAAAATGTGAGTAAATGAAGTTTATACAAAAAAATTTACTCCCTTAATACTCCCAAATATCAACAGAAATTTTGACACTATACAGAAAATTGGCATAGTAAAAACAAAATTAAAGCATCATTTCTAACCCTGACATCTACTGCTAGTCAGATTATGATGACAAATTAGTTAAAATCTCTCAGGTAAAGTCAGATATACCTTGAAAGCGTTATACAGACTCTACCAAGAAAAACAGGATCTATTTGAAAGAACATGCGAACATGAAACACCTTTTTAAATATTTTGGTGACCTTCTGCTCCTATATTTGGAATATCAACTACAAACGAAAAAGGTCTCTTAAATATCAGAAAATATCAATCACCTTCTAAATCAGTTTTTGAGGAAACATCACATTTTTTAAAGACTACCACATTAACACCATATTTCATCTGAAATTCTTTCAGCGATGTTAAACCATTGGATTCATTAACATCAGACATTAAAACCTATAATAATAGAGTATAACAAATTTACAGGCCAAATATATATTATAGAAAAGAGAGGTCTGTTTTTGTCAAGAATTATTTCTGACAAAAGCCCTACATTGTCCAGTAAGTAAGCATTTCAATAGGAGGTTGATTCAGATTTTTGATTTTGGTATTTTCAATTTGACATTTGACCTCAATAAAAATCTTTATGTGGTAACATCTTGCATATTGAACAAAAGCTTTTAAAAATGGGGCCAATGATGACAGTATTTGCGCACATTTGTTGATAAATGTTAGCAGGTGTCAAATTTGATATTGTGTCACATTATTCATATCTATATTAATATACTCTGTTATGGTACTAAGAATTATAAGATAGGTAAAGATGTTATGATAACAACACAGGTATTTCATACAGTTTAAGTTATAAATCAACTGTCCCACATTATTTACTTCAGGAAAATATACTATACAATTTTTCCTTTACACTTAAAGGGGTCAACAATTATTTAGATATATATAAAGAGACCAGTATTAACTTTTTCCACTTCATTTAAACAGTGAGCAATATATAGAAACTTATTTTCAATGATCTATGCTACTTGTAACTTGAACTCGATCATAGTCAAATATCTTTCTTTTGGATGTCAAAAAAAGCATTAACATAAGATAAGATACATAGATAGTTAGTTAGTTAGTTACATAATAATAACACAGTGAATCAGATTTTTATCAATATTCAAATTTGTTGGTGAAAAATGATTTAAAAATGTAAATTTGCTTTCAGAAATATGTTCAGCAGTGAGCACAAACACAGTTGTCAAAGGGTATTTCATATGTCTGATATTGGCCCTGTACATTTGAACAATTTTGATATAATTAAACCATCAAGTTTATTAATTCAATTTTACTCTGGTACAAAAATCACATTTTATGATTTACTGAAACTAAAATTTATAATAGCTGGGTGTGAGAGATTGAAGTACTCTAGCTAGTCTATTTTATAGGCTAGACCTATTTAGTATAATACAAATATTACTCTATCAAAAGTAAGTCAGATATATATTATCATACACAAACAGTGAAATTTTTTCATTTAATCCACTGTGAACCTAGCAAGTAAATATTGTGCAACAACCACGCATATATTTTGATTGTTTACTCTTTAAATTATATATCAATCAGCTATTTTCTAGTGTAGTTCAAGCAAGGCTGTTTCTAGGACCTGTCATATATATGTCAGGGCTTCTTTACATCTGTCCTTCAAAAAGTTTTTTACTGCAATATATTTTTTTACTCTTCTCTATTACACCTTCCAATTTTCAAAAACATTGTTTGAGAAAATTAACTTTTTCTGCCGAATATAGGCTTCTGATTCCAGTTTATTGATAATTTTTTTAGTCCCTACCATTTAATTTAAGATGAAAATGAAAGATGAAAATTGTTTACAAAAACATGTACTAGCAAAATGTCTTAAATAATGTTTTGATAAAATCAAACCTTTTGGACTTGCTTAGAAGTGTTTGTACTGATCTTAATTTTCAACTCTAAGAATATTTATGTTTGATATTTAAAACAGAAAATACAGCCTGTCCCAAACATCAGTGAAAATTGGGCAACATTCTCTGTTTTGATTAATAGCTCTACTCTGTCCTTATTTATAACCCTTGGCAATATGACCACCTACTCATAATAAGATTTACACAGTATTAATTCATATTAAAATATCGGTCAGTATCACACATAAACTGATTGTCAATGTTGACATGGATATTCCTAATGTAGAGAATTAAATGTAACTGCTAACAAAAAAAGATTATAATACACTAGATACTTGCACTAAAAAAATTAATAATAGACTGAAATATCCTGATTTTCAAATGCTTTGAATGTAAGTAAAGATATCAGAGAAAGTCAGTGTTAAAAAAGACTGTTAGGTAAAAAAAAAGAAGCAGTAGAATGTTACATAAGTCTATTGATCACATAGCATGTAACTGCCTGTGTCTGTTAAATTTTATCGGTAGTAACAAAAGTGACATCTCACTTATCAGTAATTAAAACAACATCAGATATGAATTCAAAGTATGTTCTTAATTACCTTCTGTATTATCAGAGGGAAGATTTAGTTGTATTTTTGTTTAGGTAGATAATTGTCTGAACAAAACTAGGAAAAAGAGTCCCAACATTCTTATCTCAATAGAATGAGAAGTAGCAGGTGTAAACTTTAAAACCATAATGTTAATTGTCTATAAGAACCATTTGTTGTTTGTAAACTGAACAAAAACATACCATTAACCAAGATAAAAGTTGTTGTAGTTTACCTAATTAGTGAGATCTTTTTAAAGTGCATCAGTGCATTCTGTTTTCATAAACAAATAATATTTCAAAAGTGTCAAAAAGGTAAACCTGAATAAAAACAACTTTTAGGTTTATCATAACATCGTAATAGAGAGTTAGAACTACTGTACACTGTTATCAATTAATACATGCATTCTTTTATCATATATTTACATGTAAATAATTGTCTATGACAAAAACCTATCAAAACATCATGTATAAAAAACAAAACATAAAACAAGACAGAAAGAAATCCATAAGAAGAAAGTAACACACTTATTGACTCTCATTTCTTGAAAGTATAAAATAATCAATAATGAAAATCGAATTACCTTAGCTCCATTATCTAATAATATAGAACAGAAGGCCTTCCCTAGACCTTGAGCTGCTCCTGTAACTATCGCTACCTTTCCAGTTAAACTCATAGTGAATGATCTAGAGATGCTAACAGTCCGGTATCTAACTGGATTATAAATAGAGGTATATAATACCACCCTATTTAGATAATATCAAACCCTTACACTCTACTATAAACCTTGTAGAATACAATTTCTACTGGAGTGCTTCAACTCTTTGTAAATGACTATAGATAAAGGCTATCTATTTTTAATAAATATACAAGCTTTGTGTACTCTCTATTTATGTTATTTGACACCTACAGTGATTTTCACTTCCATTTCAATTCACAATATACTGGAAACAGCCTTGTCATTTTCATTCCACCCTAATTGAAAGATTGACACAGTAATAAGTTAACGGCAATATTATATCATTTCCTGAAGAAATAATGTTAATTCTAAAAAGCAAATTCACTTATCAATATTACACTGCAAGCTCTTATTCAGAGGTAATGGTCCACTTACAAGTATATAGTAAAGCTAGTAACTTGTAAGTGGAGGTTGAAGTTGAGTTGTGGTTCGAAATGTAGTTTGTTGGATTTTGGCAGAATTTTTCGGGGTCTTTCCCATTACAGAAAAAACATGAATAAAATGACATTGTGAATTATTACATAATCCTTTATTATTAAATTCAAAGCAATTACACAGCGCCGTAAAATTTGTAGGACCAGATGAAGATGTTTGAATTGGCTTAGAGTTATTTGACAGTACAATAACCACAACTCATAATCTATGTCTCCCCAAAAATATATGGGATCAAGGAACTGCCAATTAATATATCTACATGCTTATTGTATTTAGAACTTTACCCATATAAAAAGGAGGCTTTAGAATTAAGAAGTTTGACAGAGGGTTTAAGTTTACAATATAATGGGCCCAGAATAAAAACCTTCTGTAAAAATGTAAAATCTGTACAGCAGCATCAACATGAAATGTTCTTTAATTTAATTAAAGAAATTGAACTAGGTAGAATAATGGGCCCTTTTGATGAGCCTTCCATGTTTGAAAAATCTGACGGGGGATGGAGAATGATTATTCACCTTTCTTATCCTGAAAATGGAAGCATTAACGATTTTATGGATCCTGACATAGCCTCTGTGTCATACACATCCTTTGATTAGGTCATTCCAAAATTTCATATTTGGGTAAAATGGTCAGTCAGCATTTAGATTGTAAAAAGTTCATCCTGGTGATTTTGATCTATAAGGATTTACAATTAATAGTAAATATTACTTTGATAAATGTCTTCCAATGTCTGTTTCATTTCTTGCTCAATTGTTTTCATAATTGGATAACGGAATATAAGGCTAAAGCCTATTTTTTAAGTGGAGTCAACCACTATTTACCTGATTTCTTAATTTTTAGCAAGAATCAAAAGGATTGTAAAGGCTAATTCTCAGTTCACACCAACGGCGCTTTGATCGCGCTTTAAAGCAGCGTACAAAGCAGTACCAAAGCGTAACAAAGTTCGACTAAAGCGCCAGGGTCGTAATAGATCGTTGGAAAGCTTTGAGCAAAGCTGGATATTCGGCAAGAGCGCCAAAAAATTTTAAACTGTTTAAAAATTTTGGGCGCTCTGTCACGAATTGATTAAAGTGCCGAGAACGTATCAAAGCTTAACAAAGCGTAACAAAGTTCAGCAAAGCTTGACTCAAAGTGTAGGAAAGCTTAACAGAGCTTTATTCAAAGCAGGGACCCCAGTCTTCACGGTCTGTCACCACTTGATCAAAAGCGGCATGAAATCGGCCATTTCGAAATTTTCCAATGTGTAACAGAGTTTAACAATGCTTGATAATCGTATCAGAGCGTGATTTAAAGCGTCATAACCGCATCAAAGCTTAATAAAGCTTATCAAAGCGTGATTTAAAGCGTAACAAGGCCTGATCAAATCAGGAAATATTTCGTCCCCAAAGCGTAACCATTTCGTATCAGAGCTTATCAGAGCGTAACATTATTTTTGGAAAAGTAAACAAGTAAATGATGGCGCTTTGCTCGCCAATTTAAAGCGCAGCATTCGCCGTTGGTGTGAACTAGGCATAAATGTCTGAATTTGATTCAATTTGTAAAGAGTTAAACATTCCATTATTGATTGATAAAACTGAAGGGCCAATAAGAAAATTAAACTTTGTAGTTTTACAAATTGATACTGTTAAAATGCAAGTAAGGATTCCAAATGATCACAACCAAATAGAGAAATTTAATACAATGATATACAAGATGAACTATCTAGACTCTTGCACAAAATACTCGAAATACGTATGATACAAGTTTGTCAGCCTTTGAAGATTTCCGTTCTCATACACATTTGGCCTCCTCCACTAGATCATATAATAAGACTCTCAAATACCTGGTATAAAATGTAACTTTGACACAATCATGTTCTTCAGTCTGAGACAAGGTGAGTTGAATTATCAGAATTTCCAACAGTATACATCTTAGTTGATTACATTAAGAATATGTAATTGAAGATTAAAGGTATCTGGGTTCAGGGTTCAAGTTACCTTATGATAAACTATTGTGAAGGTCAATCAAAGAAGAAAATCTTAAAATATTATAGTATCATTGTACTGGGACCTGATAGTGTATTAATTAAGGAATTTGATCACATTATCAGATATCTTATCACCTTCAAGATGTCAAGTTGATTTTTCCTGCAAGTTTCGGTGACAACATAACTGCTGTCAAACCTGGCTGATGTGCTGATTGCAACACCAAATATTCACATGTAATTTTCACTATTTGGACACTTCAATGCGTGCAAGATTTAATGGAATTTTTACAGTATTTAAAAGACAAATGCTCTGAACTGGTTAAATCAATCAAGTTCTGTTTGTGTAGGCACAAGGAGATTAAAAGAAAAAAGATATATCACTGACAAGGAAATGAAATGTAAATATTATTTTTACTCAACTAAGTTTAATTTTGATAAATATCAAGAACAAAATATTTCAACAACTCCAAACAAGTTTCAATTGTTTAACATAAAACATAAAATGATTGGTCAGGCAAAAAATTTCCCACTTCCTAAAAATAATTTTTTGAATTCCCCAATTTAATACCTGAGAAAAGTAAAAAACATGTTGATTTTATAACTGTGGTATCATTGAAAGTAGGTAATGCAGCTCAGCTCCAAAGCTATCAGCCATATGTACATCACATACCATTTGTAATTGATGTAGTTGCTCAGACATTTTTGTGTTTGGTTACCAACAACCTTCAGTGTAATCATCACACATTCAGTAACGAATATCAGATAGTGAAAATATTATAATTTAATTTTCTAAATTGTTTCTAAATACTGTGCAAGCTACTGTCAGAAATTTAAGGGACTTTGTTGACATTTCTGGGTTACATGCATCTTTTTATTTTTCCTGTCATGTCAAAAGTGGAAGTTATCTTTGTTTGATTAATATTTTCTTTTGTATTTTCCACAAGCAGTCTGATTTTCAAAATTTAAATCACCTCTTTCTTAGTAATCAGTTAAACACTATGATAAATGATAGAAACTGTTTTATTAATACTTAACTCAGGAAGAAAACACTTCAATTTCAATAATTCAATACACCCTCACTTTACTATGACTTTTCATTTCATACAACTCAACAGTATTTCAGAACAAAAATGTCCATTTTTAGACAAAACGATTTGAATGATTTAAACAATGAATCACTTATTTTGTCATCGGAAGAATTTAGAACAAAGCAAAGTCTTTTTTGATATAAAATGATATTTATTTATTGTTCTTGTATTGAGAACACTGATAGCATCGATTTGCACCATTCCAATTTTCAATCAGACGCCTGTGGTTCTTACAATTCAACTAAACTATGTACATTATGACATCACTATCGCAAAAGTCCTTTTATATCCAGAACAGCTTATTTGTAGTGACGTCATAAAACGCTTACCTTGAGATGTCTGACTGACAATCTGAATGGTGCAAATTAATGATATCAGTACCTCTGATACATATAAAAAGTTTACAAGCAAGGTCTTCATAACTTTTAAGAATAGAATCTCCCAGATTATCATCAATAAAGTCTTCAAAAGTTACATTAAGAAATTTGATACAGCTTTTAAGTTTTAATTGGCATAAATACCAATCAACTCCAATCAGAATTCAAACCATGGCCAATTGCATTTAAAAGACAATATGGACAAACATTTGGGCAGATAACATAGTAGCATATTTCTAAATCAAATACATATAGTGTATATAAAGCAGTTTTGTGCCCTTATTTTTGTGTGTTAGAATGAGCTAATAAAGTCAGAAAATACTGTGAAGTGTGCAATAGTACACAATAGTAGTATAGTAAGTCATAAACAAAATAAATATAAATATAACTTACCATCAAGGAACTTGTGGATTAATGAGAGATCATCATTGTTTATTTATTCCTTATTCTTCTTTGATATGAACTCCTTTAACACAGTTTTAAATACACTCACTGATACCACATAGATATTCCTTAATATCACTTCAATAATTATGTCATTTCCATATTAAACTTATTTTGCTCATTTTTGACAGCACAAACAATTGAATTCTACCAAAAGCCTCTTTTTTTAGTAATTGTATCACCACTCAGCAATAGGTTATTTAAGTACCAGAGATATAAAAAAACTCTCAATATATTCTTCTATCTCAAAACAGTTCCCAGATATTATTCAAATGCATCTTAATTTACCATGTATAATTGTTGAATTTTCAATACTTTGTTAAGAAGAAGGGAGCCAGAAGATACAGTAGACTAGAACAAATGTTGTTTTTACTTTTTAATATAACATTTAAATCCAATAGAGTATAAAGTACTATACATTATTAAATTGTTAAATTTCATTTATATATCCCACATTTTTCATAAACAATTTTACATTATTTCAACAACTATAACAAATCCCTCAATAAAAATAATCATTAGTGAGATGAAAATGAGTGTCCTGTGCTGGTGCTATGCACCGGATTGTGCTCCTGAATACAGACAATTATGATGAAAAATATTAAGCCACAACAATGATGCCATAACTCATTGCTCGTCTAACAACCTTTAGTGCACAATATTTCAACAAATTGCAACAAAATACAACAATCACAAAAGTAAATCTAAAGTTCAATATGCCGCATCGCACTTATAGCATGGGTCAGTCTTTGTGGCATAGTTTCAGCTTTATCAGTAAAATCCTCTGTTGTAGCTTGTAATAATATATTTATATTACTGATATTATCTGTTGGTTGTAATCCTAAATCATCTAATACATTCAATAAATACTCTGATAATAATCAATATTTATTATAAAAAACATTCAGTTGTAAATATTTATCTCAAAATTTGATAATCGTTGCTTAATGAAAGTGAAGTTATCTTTGCATGTAAGAAACTCATCTGCTAAAAAACAGGACCATCCTCAAATTTCTGAAAAATCATAATTAAAAAACTTTCATCATGTTTTATGTTATAAAAGTTATATATTAATAGTTACCTATATCTGTTATCAACTGTTTTGTTGCATGTGGTGATAGATTTATAATCTTCAGTATTTCTTCACAATAAATATGCATTGTTCCCTTAGCAACAGATTCCAACCATAGATCAGCTAAATGTTCTGGCAAATCTGAAAAATATTGATTGACTTAAAATATAATATGACATCCAAGAACGACATCCTTATATATGTGGTCTATTTATAAAACACAAGGCAATAAATCTAACTCAAAAGAACTATTTAACCTAATTTATATTAGTCAATTAAATGTTTCTCTCTGTAATGATCAAGGAAATAAGTAGAATATCTTAAACTGCTATTTTAATGTCAAATTAAATTTTCAAGTTAGTATCTTGAATTTTCAAGTTAGTATCTTGAATTTTCAAGTTAGTATCTTGAATTTTCAAGTTAGTATCTTGAAAATTCCAGTTACTAACTTGAAAATTCCAGTTACTAACTTGAAAATTCAATATACTAACTTGAAAATTCAAGTTACTAACTTGAAAATTCAACATACTAACTTGAAAATTAAAAAAAAAAAAAATATGAATGGCCCTAATACGCTTCCGTACATTTCATTCCCATAACAAGAATTTTTGTTTTTATCAAAATTTCAGTCAAGAATTTGCTTTTAATTGTGTCTTCTTTTGAACAATTGTAGAGTATAGACAATAAATAGTAGAATAAATCATAAATAAGTATAATTACCTTGATCATCTATATAAGGTAATTTACCATATTTTAATGCAGTAGTTAATGTAGGGTTATCATGTAACATAAATGGTTCTAAATGTTGTGGTATGGTCATCAAATATTGACCAATCTGAAATTATAGTAACACCCATCAGTACAAATAACAAATAACATAACCAACAAGAAAAATCCATGACTGAATCTTACAGGGCTAAAGCAGCAGAGTTACAGGAATCATAAAAGATACTAGCCATTGTATATGAACAATGGACCAGGAACACCAGAATGTGCTGTCAAATTTTTGCATGGAAAAAAAAATAGTGCAAATACTAGCTTGAAATGTCTATAGAAAGATAGAAAGCCTCTCTTAAATCCCTCTGAATACCAATAAAGTTAATTAACAACTAACCTTTGTTATATATTCTTGTGGAGACAAACTAAAACTAGGTAAATCTGATGTTAATGCTCCCTCAGCTCTTTTAGAAGTCCAGATCTGAAATAATAATATTATGCCATCTCATATATCTATACTTCATATAATAAATGTATCTACTGGTAATTTTGTCTGAGAGAGTTCATAGCAACAATTTGGATTTGAAAAACAAAACTTACCTCCATGTTAGATATATTGGACAAATATTTCTTCAACTGAGCAAACACTATTTCAAAACCAAACTTATGTACTTCTTCACATAGCTTACACATTTCAGATTTAATATCGGTAAGTTTTGATGGTGTATCACCTACAATCAACAATCACAATACTGTGTATTTGTGTGTATAATGCTCACAGGTCTTGTCAAACTAGATGTGGTAATCATTGACTATATCAATGAGAATTTGGAGAAATATCCTTGGGCTCCTATCATGATCTGACGTCTAACTAGCGGCACAGGTGCTTTGTGGAAAGCAGCTTGTTTCATCCATTCAAACAATGAGTATTACGAAACATACTAAACATCAACAATTTTCAAGTACATCAAAACTTCATGAAGAGATGTTACTCACCCTCTTCTAATTTACTGATCATGATTTCTAATGTTTCTATATCATCTTTATTATCAATAAATAAACTAGCTTGAAACTGTAAACAATGACGATTCTTCAAGTTTCTGTAATAAAGATACACATGAGTGATTTAATTGAAAAAAACAAAGAACATTAAATAAAAAGTTTGTCAAATCCTTAATAGTTTACTATTATCATAAACCTGAAACAACCTGTTCCTTCAAAGAATCTAAGATTTCACAATAATATTGATATAAGATGGATGCCTGAAATTGCCAGCTGCAGATACATATATATATAAAAAATTACAGTTAATATGTTAAATATGTTCAATATCATGTAATTTTTTTACTATTGAACATACCTTTTTTCTGAATCTCTAACAGGAGAACCAATATGTCTACCAACAGAATGTAAAATAGAACTAACAACTTCTTGATCTAATTCTTCAGCATGTAATATTAAATCACCTAGAAATTAATTAGTAAGAGAAATAAAGCTGATTCATCTACTGAGATTTGGACCAGTAGAATACAGACAGTCTCATCAAAGTCAAATGATGTTTTCCTGCGTTGTCTTATGTTTGTGGTGGTGGTTGATGAGTTCAATATGGGCCAAACACATCCTTCCAAATACGTCTACTTGAATCCTCATGAGCTTGTGGATGCTGATTTCTCTCTAGCCTGAGATTATGCATGTGAAAGCAGACAATACATAATGTTACATAATTGATAAAATAATTGGCATATTTGACATCCACAGAAGCAGAATCTATTATGGTTCTCAACAAGCGAAAGACCATGAGCCATATTATAAAATGTTCTTATTACCTACCACAAGTTTGTATTAAACGTAATGAATGTTGAAAATTAGACCAATCTTCTCCCTCACTACCTTGATTAATACCACATTTCTCTCGAATATTGATTAAAACACGTCGAAATTCACGACAATAACATAGAAAATAGGTCTGGAAAAAAAGCAGTACGAAATAACTATAAAGAACATGGTGTAACGCAAAGCAAGTTAATACCCACTGGCACCTTTATCTCTTTCATACCAGATCCAGTTTTCAATAAGATAATACTTACTTTATAAGCATCTAATAAACCAACATAACAAAAACCATTTGTTAACTTCTGACATCTTGTATTAGCCTAAAATATCATAAGACAGCTTTAATGTCATAATATTGAGCTAAGTAGAATTAACATCTAATCAATCAATGAAATGAAATGAATGAAATGAATGGAGTTTTACGTCCTACTTTTCTGCACCATGTGGGCTAATGAAGACGGGCAACACCATGCAGGGTGCAATGAGGGAAATTTTTCCAGGACAGTGGCATTAGCACACGGGGCCTCGGTTTATTGTTCCATCCGAACAACTAGCTTTCAAGACACAATTTTGAGCAATGTAGATAATCAATCAATGATAGTGATAAACAAGAAATTGACATTAAAAACGCCTCAAAATTTAATAAATTTCCTGATATTCAGGAAAATTAGAAGTGATACAGTTAAAATTTATGTCATTTTACCTTATTGGCAGCAGAAAATAATTTATTAACAGTTTCTGACAACAGTTGTACTGTATCCATTACTTCTTCATGATCCTAAAATAACAAGAATTAGTAACACATCATAGAGGTGAATCTTTTCCAAGACAAAAGTGAAATTCAGAGCACAAGCCATGAATATAAATGTATTTCAACAATAAGAAACTAATAAGACAATTATAATTCAAATAAAGTATCATTTCATCCTTGCTTTATAATACTTACCATTTTAATATTATCCAAGTCTTGAATTAATACCACCTCTTGGAATGTTGAATATTTGGGTAAATATGATCTATATGGGGCATAAATACTTAATAATAACTTTTCTAAACTAGCAGAATGTTCTAAACTATCTGAAATAGTGAATAAATTAATTCAATAAAAGATCAAAATGTGAATCATGTTCTAGTGAGTCAAACATTAATAGAAATTAATATATCTACACTATATATATTTTTAAAAATATCAAAGTTGATATCATTTATTTTGTGACCAAAATTGTAACTGAGGCTGAGCTTTGCAAAATGAGAAAGCCAAAAATAGTCAATAATTACCTGTCATATGAGATTCTACTGTAGTCTCTAAATTAGTAGCAAATCTTTCTGTTATCTAAACATCAAGCAAACATCATCATTTTGTAAAATTATACACAAAATAGGGCCTATTTATAAATTTTGTAACAAAAACTAAATACAAGATGAATTGCCTTTACATGACTGTCTTCATTAGCTCAAATTGGAGTAGAAAAATAGATAGAAAACTCCATTTCATTCATTAAAAAAAAACGCAAGACTCTTGTGAAGCAAATCCTTCAATATATCATAAATGTTACCTTTTTTAGCTCTGTTAATGTTGATAATGTATCACCACGAGTTGATATCAAACCAGATATACATGTTAATATAGGGGGATCTAAACTAGTTAATGATTCTGATATCAAATCACATACAATAGGTACTGGATCTTTAAATACCTGACTACACCAATTAATCTACAAAATAACATGGGTTTCTTAGGTGGCTCTCAAATGGGAATTTCTGAATAAGTTCAGTATGTTTCAATTCCTGGCACGAATCAAATGGTTTGGAATTGCCCAATTGGGTGTGTCACATTCAAAATTTACCTTTCTATTCCTTTCTCTACCAGCTTTATTTACATCTACACTCATTGTTTTCAGTATACGTGGAACAAGTCTGAACCTTGTTTTAGTAAACTGTCATTCTATAAATCCCAAACAAGCAGAACAATTTGAATTAATTGAAAAATACAGTAAAATTCCAATATCAATATTACATTTGTAAACATGAAAAACATGATTGATGTGATGAATGGGTATTTTACCTGTGAATGCCATGTAGACAATAATAAATCATATAACTCAGTTAACCATTCAATAGTAGTTTCATCTTGTTTACTATCAACTATATCTCTCCAATTCTCTAATAATTTACCCTGCAATAAGACAGGTACATTTCAGTATACTTATAATGGTAATCCTCCTTACATAACTATATAACAAAAATAAGCAGAATGTTTTCAAACGAATTACCAAAAGAAAACAATCAGAGTTCAATTACTATCAGTTATGTTACAATTAAAAAATACTTTGTCATAAAGTTTGCTTTTGTTACTTTTTAACAATGTAATTAGTTACATCACTTACCAAAATAAATCAATTGCATTATCATAAACAGAATGATTAAAAATAAATTACCTTATGACATTTGTGATAATATTTATACAACTGTGGTAATCTTTCAATATTGTCAAACATCTTAGTATACATCTTGGCTGATTCTAAAATAAATCAAACAGTTCAAATCAACTAAAATCATCATATAACAATTCAACATTAAAGCCTAGATTACATCATATTTTCTATTTAAAATATAATCCTATGATTATCCATTCATTCTTACCTAGAGATTGTGTGTTAAAGGCTGCTATAAGTTGTGGACTCAATATAGCTTCTAATCTATTCTTCAATTTCTCAAGATGCTGACATCTATCAGCATAGTCTGGTGTATCTACTAACATTTGCTGAAATAATCAGGTTAGAAAATGACGGGAGAAACAATATAAAGATCGTTTATTACACATACTAGGTAATAGCTATTTTTCAAATAATCATAACTGTGAAACATATCTCCTTATATGACATCAGCCTAGTACAATACTTGAGTGATCAATGTAAAATTAACCATTTAAGGTGAAGTGCTGGGCAGATCATATTTATCAATATAATGTCAAATTAACAGCAAATTTCTAATTGATAAGATTTAAAAAAATATCATGTACTTACCAAGCTCTGCTGCATTCCTGTTAATTTGTCTGTTATCTACAAAAAGACATGAAGAGTGTTATGTGTGTTATGAAAAGTAATCTGATTAGTCTCCATTTGCTAATTGGTTTCCCCCTGTCAGTGATGCAAATAAGAGGGGCTGACATGCAAAAACATGTCTAGTCTTTCGGATAAACCATGGGGCCCTGTGTGCGTTAAATATCCCTTGACAGTTGGAAATCGAAAAAAGAGCAGCCTAGTGCTGCTGTCCTGGCAAAATTTCCCTCGTTGCACTCTGTATGGCGTAGCCCGTCTTCATTAGCCCACATGGTGCAGAAAAGTAGGACGTAAAACTCTATTCATTTCATTTCCATTTGCTAATTTGTTTTTTATACTCTTGAATGCCCAATTTTTTACAGGTAATTGAGCTTTTATCTGACAAATGATTTAAAAACAAACTTACAGCCTGTATATCATTAGAGTGAAAAACTTCTTCTACATCAGCACTTAATGTTGTCCAATTATCAGCTTCCTACAACAGTAATCAAATATGTGAAATAGCTTGAATGCGACTGGTATGTTGTTTGAAGTACACCCTATCTTGCTGACAATGTTTAATTTCTGTTCTTACTATGAATTACAAATATGGAAAATTAAAAAAGTTTCTTGCTTCTAATTTTGATAGTGAACAACATCATGCAGCGTACAATACTGCAATAATCACGATTTTGCAATCCTACTATTATTTATTCCAACTGTTGAAATGATTGAATACACAGCCTTTATCACATCAAACATACCAAGCATGTTAGCACTTTACAAGTGAAGAGCTTGTTTTAAATATCTGAATGTTTTACTTTGTCTTATACTGGCAATAAATTTTCATGTCAATGAACAAGCGACTAACTCGATGAGCCACAGAAGATCTTGGAAATGGTCATGAACTGTATTCTAATATTTTATGATTATACCAGTTATCTGGACAGTAAAATTAAACCAGAATATAAATACCTTCAATGCTTCAGCTGTTGTTTTCATTCTACCTTTAATGCCATCTAACTTTAATAGCACTTGCATTGATTGAGCAGTACTCTGTTCAACCTAAAATTAAGTTTCAGTTAAAATGGTCTTAAATAATTTCACTGTCTAGCCTAAGGACTGAAGGGTCTATTAACGAATTGATCAGGAAGAGAAAAAGTTTTAAAGCAGATCATTTACCAAAAATTTACCTTCTGAATATCTTCTTTAACCATTCTCATTTGATCTTGTAATAGAGAAGCTTCTTGTCTTACAGCATCTATTTCTCTCATAACTCTACAAGACCAAGAAAATTTCTGTATGACTTATCCATGTCATAGTCAAAATTGCATTGCAAAAAAACCCCAAAAAACACAACAATTATGACTGTCAATCAAATATTAGCACTGACTACAAATAAGGCAAGGAAGTCGAACATACATGTAAATATGGATATAAGAATTGAATACTACAACAATTTAGCTATTCTGCATACCTTGGTAGATTTTGTAAAGCTTGTTGACTGGCTTCTTCTAGTATATTATTTACTTCCTGTAATAGAAATTATTTTGTTCTATCAATACTTTATTTTTAGTATTTTAGTTTGTTCTTTTCAGCTTAATAGCTTGCATTTACATGAAATAAATTGTTTAATACTTTCAATTCAATTCTTATTAATTGAACATATATGTTAAAGATGTAAATTGTAAACCTTGCTTCTACAAGAGATAATCGTCTATAACACTCAATACCAAGATTAATCGAGTTAATACTGATCTATTTTCCTTGATTCATTTTCATACTCAGAAGTTATTGATCCAAGGCCCACAAGTGCTAATAAGGTATTCTACTGACCTGAATAAACATCTGTAATTTCATAACCAGTGTAGTGGCATATTGCTATCAAACAAAAATTATTAAAACATAACTGTTATAATGAAAGAGTAGAATCCATTTTAATACATTGTGTGGGAATTTTAAGATTTTCTAGTCAAAAATATTCATCATTAATTGTGAGCTTAAGATACCCCAGAAAAAGCAGTTAATGCAATAAAACAGGGAAAAATCATTTAGTCCCAAAACTTCATCAGACTTACATCTTTTGATACAGCAGTATCTTTGTGGTTTCTAAATGCAGCATTCACCCATTCTTTAGCATCAAAACTATCATCCAAAAACTTTGAGTAATCCTGTGAAAAATTAACGTATCACTATTATATTCTAATATAAATATTTCTATGGAAAATAATCTTATCTAATGTTATATTACATTTTAAATGTGAGTGGATCTAAACTAGCATCAGTCAAGAAACCATGGATGATACATTAGACAGTTTTAACAGTTCAAACAATTTAAATTTGTAGTGCTCAAACAGTTTAACTTTATATATATCCTTATTAAAACTTGATAATAGGATTTCTTTAGGGCTATAATATATACAGTCAAGTAACCTAATTTCGTGCTAACATATTTTTCGTGCATCTTCGAAAATGATTAATAATTTCCATGTGCGACCTCGCGTGACCTCCGCATTTGCTTGTTTTGACAAACATGGGTTATCTCTACAATGTTAGCTAGTATAATGAATCCAGTAGTTTCAAGCAAGGTAAAATGATATTGTATACTTGGACAAATACAAAATGGCGGATTTCAAAATAGGTGACACATTCTGTCACTGTTGCCGAGTTGGTTGCTCATGAAATATGGGTCAAAGTGAAGGATTCATAAAGAAAATAGAAACAAACCAATTTTAATTATTTGTAGAATATCTGAGGAAACATCTAAGACATAAAAAAAAATTTCGTTTTTTTAAACTTTGATGAAAGTCGGTGTTAAATCCTTATATGCACGAAAATAGGTTACACCACTGTATGAAATAGGCTACCCGTACTGTTAAAAACCAGGGGTGTCATTAAAAAGTGTGACAGTAAAATTCATGACAAAGTAAGGAGCTACTAAATGAGTATAAACATTTATAAAAAATACAAAACATGAAATTGGCGTAGCAAATGGGCCCTGACGATTTTTATCAATAATTGAAAAAAACAAGAGACTGACAGAGGAGAGAAGTTCTTCATTTCTGTCAGTTTAGGACTTTAGGACAGTCATTATATTAGAACTGAAAGAAAACCGTGGTTAATGTCTTCAAAGGGTAATTACCATGCTTAATTTGTATGTATCAAATGTAGAAATGTATGTAGAAAGTTTCCTGCTATCCTACATAATATATTTTCATTGCAATTTTATTTTACACGTCCACTTTTTGTTTACTTCCGGTGACCATTTTGTTCTTTCATTTAGTACGATTAATTGAGGGGAAATAACTCTTCCTGTCATACTGTATTCAGACCATATCAAATTATACAATATGACGTTTATTTGCTGCACTGATAGAGCTCAATATCACTTTTAAGAATTAAATTATGATGTCTTGTTCTTCTGCAAAAAATACCATATAAGCCGAAGAAGATAATATTGAGAAAATCAAGGAATAGGTATGAGGCAGAAATCCTTTCACTGGTAATTATGATACAATGTGAAGGTAAATAACAAATAAAACAAAATTATGATTATGACTTTTATTCAATTCAAAAAGAATATACATGTATAATAATAACAAAATCTAAAACAACTACTGATAAATAAAAAGATAACGAAATAACATAATAGACTGCATGACATAGCCTGTACAGTAAATAGTAGAGATTAATGCAATAGAAATGTCATTCTAATACTTGTATGGGCATGTTTCCCTTCAGATTTTCTGTCACAAATCCCACACCAATATCCATCCAATTTACTTACGGATAAGACTTGATTAGTCGATATACCTAATGGGAATATAAATATTTTAGTAAAATTTAATAGATGGATAAGACTTCTCTTATAAATACAGCATGATATATCTAAAGAGATTTTTACATAAAATAGTAATGCTGCCAAAATGGGTATCAAATAATATCACTGTTTGAACTGCTGCTTTTGAAGTAGAGGTTAACTTTCAAATATTTCACAGTCATAGTAAGAAATTAATAAACAAGTGTATAATTATAAAAAAAATTGATAAAAGAATATAAAAATATGAGATAAGTTCAAGAACTGCTGCGTATTCAGGGATAACAAAGTAAGACAACCATACAGTTGACTCAAAACTCGAGGAATTTTCGAAACATAGATCTAAATAAGGCTATATTTTTTTCAAAGGGATTTTAAGTGGTTACCATTTGTTCGCAAAGTTTTTTTTTTTGAGAATTTGCATGCATCTAGGCAAGAAAGTATACAGTTATCTAAATTCTTAAGCTTTCCATATCACTTTTCAAAAGTAAAATCTAACAACTAGTTCTCCTACAATTTAACAAAGATTTACCACAATGATTCATACCGTCATGACAATTAAGAATAATCATCTCCATTGATCAGAAACCATTGGTATAATAATATCATTAGTAATAAACGCAAATATTCAGAATACTGTATCCTTAAACTGCACATAATTTGTTCGTAGTTTAATAAGTAAAAATGAAAAATATTGAAAATATTTGATCAACACTACAAATAAGACAATATCATATACAATATAATAATTATGTAATACCCTTGTCCTGAAAAAAAAATAATAATAATGATAATGAGATAAAATACTGAATAATTATTAAAGATAACAAAAATCTAACTATAATACTATCATTAAAATACAACGCATCTAGGGCTGGGCATCCATTACCAAATTGAGATTGATTATGAAATTTGATTAAATCGATTATCGAAAGCAAAAATAACTGATTATTTTACCCAACCCTTAACACAATTATCAAAAATCAAACTTATAAATGAACTTTAAAAACATTTCAAAATATGAACAAGAACAATCTCCTGTGTTCTGAGTAGTGAGTTATTTATTGGTTACAGTAAATTATTTTCACCACTACCATCTCTTGTCTGATGTCTGAAGTTCCTGCAATTCAACAGAAACTTACAACAGAGTATGATTTCACACCTGAAAATATTATTTGGCTTGGATGGCATTTACAGATGTCAGAGTGGAAATAGGAATAGTGTAAATAAAATTTGCAAGTCACATAAATAAGTAATATTCTAGTTTTCATTATACATTTGAATTCATGTTCTATATGAGATTTCAAGAAATGGTTCATGCTGCATCAAATTCTTTTCTTTTAAGGCAATTAATCTACCGCTATTTGTTCTAAACTTCTATACGCCTACAACCATATTGTTTACAGGTCTAAACCTGCATAAAATGCTACCAGTTTTTACATAATCAACTTTCACATAACTTCCTAAATTTCTATTCTAAAACTAATATTTTCTTCAACATAACTAAAGGAACTACTAATTGTGGTAACACACTTTATGTCTCGTCATTACTGAAAAAGAACTACAGTGTAAGGTAATTTGCTGGTGGTGATATTCTTGATGATATGATTGCTAAACATTATTATCCACATTCAGCAGGTTGAGTATTTTCTGAACATCAATGGGAATCAAAATCTTCAAGAATGGTATAAATTGCTCGTAATATATGGTATATTGTGGGTGACTGCTTGAAACCTTGTATATGCCATATTTGGTCACTTGACTTTTTGGTACCGTTCGAAAGCTCGTAAAAGCACGGATCTTGTGAACAAAACCTCTTATTCTTAGCTTGATTGTAAATAACCAAAAACCACCAATTAAATAACATGAATACAAACAGTCAGATTTAAAACCTCGTAAAATTTTATATCATACAAGGTTCAATGTTCCTTTTTCTGCTGATGAAAACGAAAAACCTCGTATACTGTACTGTTATATGAGTTATTGGTTGAATAGGTCAGAATACTCAAATTGTTATACAAGGTTTAAATTTTCATAGAATAGACAAAATACGTGTACAAAAAGTTTTTTGCAGTTTTCTCGAAAAGTAATATATTGTTATACAATGTTTCAAGTGATCACCCAAGATATATTTAGTCTTGTAAGACTAGTAATTCAATAAGTTGGCAATTACACAGCCTATTGCAATAGATAATCCTGTGTGTCTAAAAATTGTTAACTGAATTAACATTGTATACAATACAATTCAATAGCAAACTATCATTAATACAGACTTAACCCAGAATAATGTTACTCATATATCAAAATTTGGCAAGATTTGATTATAAATAAACAGTTACATGTATTAATTAATTTTGAAAAATAATTGTTCAAAGATACAAATTGATTATAGTAAGGAATTTGGTTTGTCAATCCAAAAAATTTGATGTTTCAAAAACCTTTTTCTAATTAATATTTCTGTAAAATTGGATCATAAAAAAATATTGCATACAATCCCAGGATATGATATCCATCTATATTTCTGTAGATCTATTAGAATAGCTTGGTTTACTGACTTCATTTATAATTTGTCTCTTTTTGGGTGAAGATGCTATTTTCTGAAAACATAAAATAGTTTTTATTAATTCATAAAATAATATGATCATTAAGTCAATAGTTTATATTCTTTTAGGACATTGGTAGCTGATTAGAGTAGTCTCCCTCACACAACATGAGAGAGCCTGAGTATCAATTTAATTGAAATCTAAATCTGATCAGTAATTCTTGAGATATCAAATTTAATCAAAATCAAAGATAGAAAGATGTACAAACCTCTGCCTGCAATGCTTGTTTAGTTCTATATTCTTTTCTAGCTATTTCTAATTCAACCCATTTAGGTATATCAGGTATGAAGATAGCAACAGCTCCTTTTATAACCAGTACACAATGCTAAAAAAAAGAAAAATACCTATTGGTTGAGAAATCAGACCCTTATGCCTTGGACCTATGGACATGTTTTCATGAGTTATATTTGCATTTCAACCTAACCTTTATAATTGGATTAGTGATGTCGAATAATTTAATTTCAGGTAGTAAAAGTGGTAACAATGAATTTCTGGTTTGAATATTTTTTTTTTTCTACCCAAAATTAAACCTGACTTCTTGTGTTTATCATGGAGTCTATCATCATAGCAGCAGCTGATGGTAGAGAACATATTATTGCAAGTGACAAGGAGAAACCACATGTTCAAGGCAATGAGAACAATTTGTCCAGAAAGAATACATGTCTCAGGCATATCAAAGAATAAAGAAGAAATTACAACTGACCTCAACAATGACAAAGATGATGACCATATTAACAGCTGATATATCTGATGGTAATAATGCTTGTACAGTAGGGTCCATACCAATCAATGCAGTATTAGTTATTACTGACATTAAACCAATCACCTCAAATGCTACCTATAATATAACAGATTACTTAGTTCTACAAAACATTTTGAGAAATAAGGTCTCAATGACTATGTAATATATTGTGTTGTTAGATGAAATAAGGCAAATGGATGTACATAGTATTGTCTTATCCAAACACCAAAAGACTACTTCAGCAATAAAGATCACTGTTTATGCTCATACTTAATTACAAATTAAAACACATACCTGCCAAGCCCCAATACTAGAAGCTGATTCTGCAAATGGTCTTTGAGAAACTCGACACATCTTAAAGGCATCACATCTGATTTCAGTGACATTGTTCAGTAAAGCCCACAATGCTGCAAGTGGGAAGGCAGAAGAGAAGAGAAAAACATAACCAAACTGTAGAAATAGTTCTAAATAGTCATTATTGGTGCTCTGAAATTAAAAATACAGTGTAAATCATAGTGACCAAAAATAAAGTTAAATTCTGACACAGTATATCATGTTTGAATTACATTGAAAAATATGTTATTCAATTCTCATAATACAATGTACATGCCCAAGATCATTGTAAGATCAGTATTAGAAAGAGGAGCTGGCAGTATGTGACTAAGAAGAATTCTGGTTCACTTGAAACTTTCATATCCAATAAATGACATATACCAATTTATATTATACTTACATCATAAACAGACATAGAACCTTCAACAATACTTCTCTTTAATACACCTTTATCTATCTCTTCAGCTTTATCATCTAATGGCTTTAATTCTTCAACCATTGTTATAGCTTTACTCAGCTGTTTCTCTCGTCGTTTAAAAAAGAAAAATGGTACCATGGCCTCTTGTATTTGTCCCATTAACTGAGATGCTATCAACAAACAGGCTAAATGCTGAAAAATAAATTTAAGATTTTGGAAGAGTGATAATCAATTTAAGACCTATCAATTTTCTTAAGTGGTCTAGTGATTAGCATTAAAAGCTATGACCATTCTGACAACTGACTCAGAAAGCTAAAAGAATCAAGCCAAGAAATTTATATAATATAATATAATACTTACACTTCTGAGTAATGTTCTATTTTGTAGATAAAAGGCCACGTAAAATAATGACATAAAACAATTAACAAAGTCAAACTGGAATAAAAACAAGCATCAATTAATATTTCTACAACACATCTAAATTTTCTCTGAACTTTTTCTTATCAACTGTATTTACCAAATATAGAACATAGATGGAGAATAAAATATTTCAACAGATTAAAAACTCACCAAAACAAGTTTAACTATAAAATGATTATTGTATGAAGATTCTAAACGGTGGTTTTCTGAAAGAAACAAGAACAATTTAAGAGGGATTTAAAAAAGCAAATTTATTTTGCTTTGCGAGGAATGGATCGTTTTATCTCATTTGAACTTAATTATCATATGGCAAAGCACATAATGAGATTACTTTCAAAACAAAAAAGGATCATGTAAAATACAAACCCCAATCATTGAGTTCTCTAGCTATAAGTCTATATATAGCATTAACAACAGCAATCATAACAGCATATATTCCTGAAGGTGTATATAGGACAGGTAAATAGAAGTAGCTATGACCACTATCTATATAGGCTTTATCAGCCCAAGCCTGCATCCAAAAATATAACAACATCACAAAGAACGCGGCACATAAACATAAACTTATAACTGGTACAGTTACAAAATAAAATTTAGCTAATCTCTTCCATTTAGGATAAACAGGTTCTGGATTACCAGTTACTATATTCCGTCCCAATTCACCACGATAATTAGCTCTTGGTTCTTCAAATGATGTTCCTACATTTTCTAATGTTCCCCATTTAAAACTGATTTCAGAACAGTAGCGTTTCCAGCCCTCTAATAACAAAGTTGACCAGATCAGATTAAATATGGCAAATATAGCTTCTCTGTATACACTCTTCCAGGCCGTAATTAAATATATTATACCAATCAAAGCTGGTGGTATCAATGCTATTGTATAAACACCAAGAAATGCAAAATAAACTGCAATTTTCTCCCCAAAATAATTGCGTATTTTATCTGAAATAGATTTTATTGTATGTGGATATTGTAATATTATTTGTAATAATCTACTTAAGTATAATACAACAATTAACAATAATCAAAGATTAAAAAGATTATAAAAGTGTTTAATAGATTACTCTATATAAATATCATAATCTGGTTAAATAACCTTTAATTCTCTTTACGGAATTCATCAGATGTCATGAAAATGAAATGAAATGAATGGAGTTTTATGTCCTACTGATCAAGATGCTATTTTTCCAGTCTCATTCAGTTCAAATCAATAATTAATAATAACATGATGAAAATGTTGAGATTATTTACCTATGGGTTGAGGATTAAATACTTTTTTATAGTTATACCATTCATCCCCTAGTCTCTTTATTTCTTCTTCATCATGTAAAGGATACAGTTGTAATACTAATCCACGACTTAAATATTTCTTGACTACAATTTAAAAGTAAATAATATATAATATATAAATGGATTCTAGGAATGGGAGCCTATATTCACTGACAGCTTTGTTTAACATTGATCAGAAGGACCATTACCTGTATGAAATATTTAACCATTATACACTTTTTATGAACTTTTTTAATCTTCCAGTTTATCCTTCGGTGATAGTAAACAATTTCACAAAGTTTCATCTAAATCAATTATGCCTTGTAGAGTGTTTACCAGCAATTGTGGACTGCTGACAACATATATTTCATCTGGACGTATAAGAAAATTAACTGATAGGATTCTGATAACATAAAAACTCTCTCATTATGGCTAAATCTTTTGGTTTGTACCAACATGTACAAAAAGACTGTTTTAAGTGGAATTAATTAAAACGTATAGGAACTTACTAATAGATTTGCCAGGATATAACCTGATTTTCTCATAGCCTGGTATATTACTATCCATAGCCTGAGCCCGGATACCCTCTATTTCATGTTTTATAATCTTTTGTTTCTCACTGTTGTTGAAAAATGTTTTTGGATCATCTATAATAATAATAGGCATACCACATATAGATACTTACATATAGGTAAAGAAGCTTTTTTCTCTTGATAATGCTGCCTGTATAAGCATGTGAAACGTTGAGTTAATAAAGGTCAGAAATAGTATATTCATATATCTTGTGCTTCCTTATGATAAAGATATTCAAGTTAAGATGGATTACATAGATATAAAACTATTTGAAAGAGACTCAAAGCAAATATTTTGCAATGTTAAGACAAATTCAGTTTTGTAACAGAACAGTTATGGGTATTCACTTGAATTGTAAAGTTGATATATTTCGAAATATTTACCAGAGTAAATTAAGAAATATCAATAAGCATGGTAATGTTGTTTGAACAAATCCAGAAAGAGATGATTCTGCAATGTACGCTTGCAAATATAAAGAACTACCTGATCCTTGAAATGATTGTAAATCATGAATTGATATTTCTTTATAATGTCCATCTAATGTTAGTTTTTTAATCTCTAATAACTCTCCTGCTAAAATCAATCTGTGACTACTGGCACCAATATATAATACTGTTTCCTAGAATATAGAGTTTAAAGATATATCTCTATAAATGAAAAAATATTGTAGTATTATAAATTCATTTATAACCTTATTATGTATCCAAATATTAAAACATTTTGTTTCAAATGGACTATCAAAAAAGTAAGAACAAAATAAATCCCATAGTAAGAGGCAATAGGTGAGAAGAGGAAAGTAGAACTTTGCAAAAATTGATATTACAGATTTTAATCCTATTCTTGCCCTATGAAGTAACACAAGGTTGCAAGTCCTATAACACTTTTCAAAAACATATAGGAGGATTATCTAGCCATGCACCATTAAGAAATATTTAAGTTTGGTTGCAATGCACACATGGGAACAGACTATCTAATGCTACTGGTTGTTGATTGCATGAAGGACATTTGTAAAGTAACAATCACTTTTATATTAATAATCAACATGTCTTATATCTCAAGAAAGTTCAGGTTTAATTTGATAAAACTTTGATAGTGGACTCAAAGGATATGAATGTACTAAGACGCATTTTGTCAATTTTCCATATCACTGTCTAACCGTTGAAACCTTAACTATAGACTCTTTTGATTGGTTGTAAGTGCAAGTATGTCAATAACCTAAAAATATGTATGTCAGAGGCAAAGTAGAAAAAGTCAAATGTATACATGTGCTCCATTTACAAATTTAAAAAGGTAAACAAACATTGAAATGTTGGGAGGATCAAATTTAATCTTCATGAATAACTCAAAGTGTTGGTGCTGTAAATAATTATGTGAATTGGACATCTGCTTCATAAATAAAACGTAGAAGTGAAATTAGACCCGTTTTACAAAAACCCGTAAGATAAATTGGAAAAAGTGAAAAATTAGTTTAAGACAAAAACAATTCATTAGAGGTACACCTTCAATCCATGCAATATTCAAATCTTACCAAACCACTATCTGGCTCTGAATCCTGAAAATAATTCAAATTTTGTTGAATTTACTTTTATCACCCTTAGGCCTATTATTGATAATATTGATAACATATATATATTTTTTAAAATGTTGTAGTAACAATGAAAGCTATTATTTGGGAAGTTCACTTACACTATTATGTGGCATAACCATAGTGCGAACTTGTAAATTAGCACCACCATTCTGTTTTGAAGCCTGCAATTTGGCAATCATCCAGGTAACAGCAGCTTGATTTGTTTTAGAAGAAAACTGCATGACCACCAATGGTTCAAATGGTTCTTTCGAGTCATCTCTATGTCTTATACTGATGTCATCTATCCTGTCTTTAAACTCCATATTAATGGAAACAAATGGCCCAGACTGTGATATAATGATGATCTATTTTTTTTGTTCTTCCGACACCATACCAGATTCTAAAAAACATGAGCTAAACATGCAATGATCAAAAAAAAAAAGACTTGTATATGATAGGATAATTAATATATTAAAATGATATAATATTAAAATACACCTAGAGGTTTAGACTTTCATCACATTCCATGCAAAAAGTGACAATTTATGAGGCATAAATACAGATCCTGTTACTGTGTATTAGAGTCTAAGCCTAGGTCTGCATCAGTGCATTTCAAGTCGAAGATCCTTTAAGAATAGATTCCTTCATTGCATGGCATTACAGGTATGCATTAGCCCAAAACGACTCAAAAAAGCATAAAATTTCACTTTGAATGGGAAAAAATGTTCAGCTACTCGGACTTCGATACACATATTCGTTTATTGACATTCCAATGTTTTCGACTGAGGTCAGGAGGATTCCTTATAACGAGGGCTTCATTTAGCATATAATGACGATATATAGCAACCTAATAGATTCAAATAGTAATTAAGTCAATGATTCAAGAGAATGCAACAAATAAACGTCTCAAAAAATGCAAAACGCACCTCTGCTGATCTACCTGATAGTGATTGTTATTGCCTGAACGTTCCACTGCGATAAATCCGAAAGAGAGTTACCTCCCTTCTTCTCTCATTAGTGGATTATGGAAGCACATACATGCCATAACATGAACATTGTATAGGCTGTATCAACTGGATAGGAACGTCAATTAAAGGCTTTGTTATATATTGTGTTCTCTTGCCACTATTAGTTCAAAAGAGTTAATTTGTTAATCTTTTCACTTAGCGACTAGCGAGGGGGACTGGTAGATCCTCTGTCATTCACGTCTGCATAGTAAAACAATATTTTCACTGTTAAAATAGTGTTCGATACATTAATTGTAACCCTATGGTTATTATATCCTAATATTAAGTTTGATCTATAATTGTGTGTAAATATGCATCTCTTTTAAAAAAGAGAATACAAATCACACTTATAAGATCAATTATAGCCTAACTTATTACCCGTTTCTGTTTTCGTCTCGCATTCACTTCCATTTTGCCTGGTTCGTCTGTCTATCCATACGCTGCTCCTTTGACTTGGTTCATCCGCCTTTCGCAGCCTACTTACAACTCTCATATCACCTTCTCACCAAGTTCACCTGTCTTTCTTACTAACACTGCTTTTATCTTTAAGATCATCTGTCTGCCTTACTGTCTTTCTGTCTATCTTACTTATACGCAGCTCATTTCACTAGGATCATCTGACTCCTTTACTTACAATGCTTTTTCACTGGGTTCATCTTTCTCCCTCACTTACACGGCTTTTTCGCTAAGTTCATCTGTATCCCTTACTTACGCTGCTTTTTAACTAGGTTCATCTGTCTCCCTTAATTACACTGCTCCTTTCGCTAAGTTCATCTGTCTCCCTTACTTACACTGCTCCTTTCGCTAAGTTCATCTGTCTCCCTTACTTGCACTGCTCCTTTCGCTAAGTTCATCTGTCTCTCTTACTTGCACTGCTCCTTTCGCTAAGTTCATCTGTCTCCCTTACTTGCACTGCTCCTTTAACTAGGTTCATCTGTCTCCTTTATTTACACTGCTCCTTTCACTAAGTTCATCCGTCTCCCTTACTTGCACGGCTCCTTTCATAACACCTGTGACTCCTTTACTTACACTGCTATTTTCACTAAGTTCATCTCACTCCTTTACTTACACTGCACCTTTCGCTAAGTTCATCTGTCTCCCATACTTACACTGCTTTTTTCACTAGATTCATCTGCCTCCCTTACTTACACTGGTCCTTTCGCTAAGTTCATCTGTCTCCCTTACTTGCACTGCTCCTTTAACTAGGTTCATCTGTCTCCCTTACTTACACTGCTCCTTTCACTAAGATTATCTGACTCCTTTACTTACACTGCTATTTTCACTAAGTTCACCGTCTCCCCTACTTACACTGCTCCTTTCGCTTAGACGTCGGAAGGAAAATTGGATTGGTGCAAATTGATGCTATCGGCGTCCCCGATACAGATAACAATATTTGAAAAACCTCTTTACAATCCCTTTAAACCTCCTCTTTCGTAGGTTTATCTGTCTTAGGCCTACTTACTTTTACACTGCTCCTTACACTAGGTTCACCTGTCCACTCACTTAGAACGCTTCTTTCACTACATTCATCTGGTTCCCTTCGCTAATATTGTCCCCTTGTTAACCTATCTGGCTTACTTACAGTGCACTTTTCATTAGGTTTAATTTTAAGGGGTTCGTTCAACTGGGCCTATATGGAACTTAAGAAGTCATTCAAATCATCTGTACATTTAAGGCCAGGCAAATATTTCTAAAGGGGGGTTGGGGAGGAAGCAGTCGTATAGGAAGTATGACTACATGTATTTTATGATTTACACAATACCTACATGTAGTACCTATCTCGTTAGTGGCGGGACAATTACTTTGAGGGATTCTGCAGTCGTATATTCACCGGCCCGTTTATTTTGGCGCTATAATTTCTTGAATGAATTTTAGGCTTACTGCGCGGTAGGCCTACGCTGTTCGCTTTTGTTACCATTAACATGAAGATTAGTTAAATTTGATAAGAGATTCATGTTTTCTACAAAAATATTTTAAATCAACTAAGAACTAACGAATTATATTAGTGGTACTCAAATCCTCTATTAAAGGTGCTAAAATTAATGATTAATAATACAAGTTTCAATGTCTTCATTCCTTGGGATTGCCTAGTCACGTGACGTCACTTGCTTTGTCACCAGCCAGGTATTCTGTTTACCTGGGACAGTCCACAATTACAGGTATGACAGGTAGGTCGATAATTGGTGAAAATTAATAAAATCAGGATATTTGGTTATATGACATAATCATTGAATATAACAAAATCCTCTTCTAATTTATTCAAAGTTATATCAATAAACATACTTGTAACATGCAGACAAAATTTATGTAAAATAAACTGACATCCTTATATTTCCCTTTGAAATCAAAATAGCATCAACCCCATTTTAGTGGGTCATTCGTCTCGATTGAGGGCGCGATTGAAAATCTCTTGATGTCATCTGTGTTGTTAAGACCTATCGTTAGTATCAAGTTATCTCTTAGTTATTACGAAGTACTTCAAATCTCAGAATCACCAACGTGTAGAATGGAATGTCACCTAGATTCTTCAAACGATTGAGAGAAAAATCAACCTGAAATACTACCTGGTTAGTCACCCGTAAACGAAACCTCTACGAGCGGTACAAGCGCACCTGAGTTCATACAAATGACAGGATCAAGTTTCTGTATAGGAAACTATTAAAGGTAGGGTATAACTCCATCTTTTCAGTATGTCTTAATTAAATACCTTTATTATTAAGGGATGCCATAAGTTTCAAATACATTTGCTCTATGTGTAATGTGTGAGTCTTCATAAATGAAATTGCATTTTTAAAATTACTAATCAATTAATGAATATTCCCATAATTGACTATGATGACACAGGGCAAATTGGTTTTACAGTTGAGAGAAACCACAAATTTTCTTATGGTGGTAGTGTTACAAAAGAAACGTTGCTATCTGTAGGTAGTAAATCTTCTTTCAAATTTCCCTTCCTTGGTATGATTTCATACTTTCATAATATCAGATATGTTGGTTAAGAATGATATTAAAGGAATTGATGTCACATTTTTCCAATATCCTCAAAGGTTTGCTACATTTACAGTTGTCAGACTCTTGATATACTCCTGCTTTCACCAACGTTAAATATGATAAATAAATAATTGTAAATGTTGTAAACCATTTGCAATATATATTTTACCATAGCTTGCCATAATGAATACAGGTTGTTCATACCGAATCAGAAGGAGGAAATGAATGTGTTGTACATGCGCACATACATTTCAAAACTAATACACTACTCTAGTAAATATTTTTTTTTATTCCTACCAAAAAATTTATTTTAAAGAGCCAATGTTGGTGTCAGTCTCCAGGAACAAGGGGTACATATTGGGGACAGACTGACTAAATGGAGGGACAGCTGTCGGGTAGAGATTCCAAATGTGCAAGTCTCCCATGGAGGATCAGAGAAAATTCTCTGACAGAAAAATTTGGAAATGATATTCAATATTATGAGGGTGTTGCAGGAAAATTATTTAATGATCGGACTGGAGATATTTTAGCTATCATGAATTACACCTTTGGAAAAAGTAACATTGCTAGTACATGCTATTTACTAAATATTGCTTTCAGAACATACTGACTTTTTAATATGGTATAACATGTAAGATGTTGGCCTACCGTTACCATTTAATTTAAACTAAAGGACTGAGATTATGCTTGCTTTCTTGTTTTCAAACATTATTTCACCTTGACAATTAATATTAAATTTTATGGGCCCCTAAATTTGAAGTATTAGGCACTATTTCTAGAATTATTTTGCCTGGGTATGATAAATTGATTAATTGATTTACAAGTCTTGAGGCTTATTTTAAAAAAAAAAGAATTAATTTGGAGTTTCAAAATCACAAATTTACGCGCTTTGGAAAAATCTCATGACTTTTCACCCAATCTCCAGATTTTTTGTCCTGACTGGTACACATGTATGAATATTGGTGCTTTCTAATCTATTTTAGGAGTCTAAAAAGTATACAAATTGTAATTTGAAATTTTTTCGAAATAAGGTGGGGGTTACAATCTATTTTTTGAGGAGGAAAATGCTACAGGTAATGTAGGACATGATATTTTAAGTGGGAAACATAGTTATTTTAACTGTCAAGGGATATTTGAGTTCATTGTCCCTGATCTCATCCATACAACAAGAGGCTATTCATAATAATATGACTTTAAGGGAAACTGTGTTGAAAATCAAAGATTCAAGTCTAAAAGAGACTGTTTAGCAATCTTCCTTTCATAGGTCACAAATATTTATCTTACACAATTTGAACACTTAGTGATGTATTGAAAGACAAATATCA